TTGATGTATGTGTGCACTCATACATGACCCACCTTTAGAGCTGCATTTATTCGGGTCTCAGGTTGAAGTGGAAAAGGTAAATGATGCTTGGTCAGTGAGGCCTTTGGGCCTGGCAGAGTTATAAATCGCAGTGGAGGGTAGACTGAGTGATGGCTGCTGTTTTGCAGCTGTGGATGGATATTTCATAGCTCTCATTTATTTGCTGGGAGGGACATATTAAGTGCGCTCTGACCTGTGACTGATGACTCAGATGGGTTCATTTTTAGCTGGAAACAAACATTTGCCAGTCCACTATGGCAGCGGTCCCCAATCCCAGTCCCTTTGCTTTGCATGTTTTTGTGGATTCCCTCTACACACCTGACCAAGCCAAAGAGGTGCTTGTTAATTATTTTAATCAGGTGTGTTGCACTATGGGAGTAACAGAAACACAGGGTTTATCCTTAGACCAGAACCCTTTAACTACACTAAAGGGGTAGGTGGGCTAAAATGGTCCTGCTGCCCTAAAATGACCACAATTCTGAGTACTTGCCTCTTAGTCTTAGGCACACAAATACTTTATAATCTAATTTATCTCATTAGTAAGTGTGTTTTTTACTAGTAAAAACACAATATAACATTAGAATAACCACAAAAACATAAATACAGTTAAAAGAAGTTGAGATGTTGACATCCCCCCAGCACTATTACCACCACACCTGATATAATTTAATAAAATAACTAGATATTGGAAGACAACTACAAATAATAACAGGCTCCCACGAGGAGAGGTTTGGAAATGGTAATGTTTATACATTAACATACATACAATCAATACATACTGTTTTGATATTATTTGAGTTCATTCTAATATTAATGTTTTTGAGCAAATAATATTAGATTGCTAATCTTAATCCTAATTAGATTGCTTTTTCAAATATAATTTTCTCAGGTGGCTACAACGTTTTCATAGTACTGTAAATAAATACATGTTCAGAACATTGAGCTCGGTCACTGAGGCATCCCTACCGGAGGGTCGTGTTGCTGGCAGCATTTGTATGACCACAGTGGCCGACATAATCTGATACACCCATATTAACTTTCACCCACTCCCCAGACAACCCCACTCATGGCCTTATAAACCAGAACAACAATAACCCACTTTTAGTTGAGCTAACAGTTTGTGTTATTCATTCATTCACACATTAATTTGCTGAAACACTAAGCTACCAGAAGAATTTTCAAAGTAAAATTTTTCCTACAGTTTCCCATCATTATTTTGTGTCATACTGTGTGTTTGCGCTGTAAAACTGAAGCAGAACAAAAAAAATGATAATACTAATGATAATTTGACATAATCAAAGAATATAGTCAGATATAGTCAGATGTAATACCTGTAGTATATTGTATCAAATTAAAGACAGTAATTCGTGCACTGTTATGCAATACATATTACTGTCTAAACAGGAGGCCTACTTAATGTACTCATAAACAATAAACAATCAATACAGGGAAAACCAAACTAAATATGTAAAATATGAAAGTTCAAAAAAAAAAAAGGAGGCCCAGCACAAGCGCATCAAAAAGTCTCATCATAGAGTACATCACCCACCACAAAGCAAAGGCTCTAACACCTTTTAATAAATATTACATTTTGATGAATAACTGATCTCTTAATTTGCGTATTTTTTTTATTCACTGTAATTGTGCAATTAAAAGAAAGGGAAAGGAAGACAACATACCTCGTGTGTCAGGTACCTTCCTAGCACGTTGCTGAAACGACTGTGTGCATCTAAGGTGCAAATGTATCCTGGTCTAAATCATGCTAATCAGCTTTCATGAATAGTTTATTAGGTTGTAATCTGCAATGTGATCTAGTTTTAAATATTCAAAAGCAAGATGTAGCCAGTCATAAAGCGGCTCGATATAGAACACTCGGGTTACTTAAACAGACACGGGTTTGTTTTTATACAGTGTCAGGATGAGTAGTCATAAATGTCCATTATGTGTTATATGCACACACACACACACACACAGACACACACACACACACAGACACACACGTTACAACTGGACCTCAGAGGCGAGAGGGGAAAAAAACTGACACAACCATAACTTCACTATCAAATGATAACACAGCCCTTTGTGTACTTCACAGAGAACAATTTTGTCCATGTCAATACACAATTACTGTTTAATTGTTGAATTTAACATTTTGGAGAAAATATAAAAGTTATTGTACATTTAATATTTTTCCAACTTGGCAATTAACTAGAAATTGTGCACTAAAAAAAGCATGTTCTTTGCGGATGATGTTTACTTATTTTCACTTAGAAAATGAACAAAATGTAATTTGATCAACGTGTATAATAAGACTTTTCTCATTGCAATCCTTAACATAACCCTAACCTTAACCTCTGTAACTTAAAAAATAAATGGTTCTGCATTTGACGTTTTAAAAAAATGTAACATAATAATGATAATAATACTAATATTACTACTAATAATATTTACAATACTACTATTACTACTACTCATAATAATACTACACAAAATTATGACTTTTTTATTCTGAAATTGTCCAAAAACAAACACTCACACACCCACTGTGTTGTTTACAAGAAATGCTGGTCACATGCCATCATAAAAGAGCTTCGTGTTCATTTCAATTCTAATTGTAAGTGTTTCTCTCTGTGTGGAAGAGAAAACTACAGAGAACAAGTATAAAACAGCAGATGGAATAAAGCATCACACTGACTAACAGTGGGATAAGCTGCCTAGAACTGTCAGTCAAAAGCCCTCATTTGCAGATGTCATCAGCAAAAAGCAACTCAGGAATCACGAATCAATTTCTCTCTTAACAAACTAATAACAAAACAATCTCAGAATGATACATATCATATATCATGATACATACACCCTTAGTCATCTCAGGATATGTGCACACGTGTCGTTCTAACTGTACCACATACGTGCTTGTAAGCCCAGACACACACACACACACACACACACACAATGAATCCAGCACTGTTCTGCTACCACAGTAAACAGTGGCCATGTTGCTATGATCTCAGTGCCATGGTGAGTATCTATGGAGAATGAAGAACAGGTGGAATAGGACCAGAGTAAAAACAACAGTGCTGCCCAATACACTTCGCAAAACAGCTGTCATTCACTCTGTCATACTCCGCTTCTACTGTTCACTACATTCTCTCCCCACCTCATTGAGGGGTGACTGTGTGTGAAGCAGAGAGCGATAAAGAGGAAAATAAAGCTCGGTCTGGCTCAACCACAACTGACCAGTCAGAGTCTGTTATGCTATTCAAATCTTGGTTCAAAATACTCAAACAAACAAATCATTGCAGGTGTTACAAATGACCATTATGTAACTACAATCTCTTCTTCTACAAAGAAAAACATTCTTCAACATAGATTCATAAAGCATTAAAAAAAGATACAAGCTTCTGACAACAAAGTACTTAATAGTATGAACCTATGGGGGCTTTAGAGGGCGTCTCAGGGGCCCAGCACTCATTATGTGGCTAACAGGGATAGGCGGAAGAAGTCTCAAGAGTGTGATTTAACAATAATCAGCCATATCTCTCAATACTGACCACTCAGCACACTTCCTGTCAGTGTGGCCTGGCTACACCACGGCAAAAACACCCAGTTCTCTCCTGAGTAATCCTGTTAGGGGGATGTGAGGGGAATTCGGGACTCTGCTGTGTTCCCCCCCTGCTGTGATGTAATCAGATCCATGCCCTCTCTGTCTGTCTCTACCACCAGGTGCAGACCTTCTCACGCACACAGCTACAAATCAGCTCATCTTCAACCATATTGCTTAAAGTGTCTTCAAGAACAACTCATCCTACACTTAATTAACACGTATTATATAAATGTTTAAATAATTATAGCACAGGCTACATTTAGACTGACATCCAATAAAGACAGTGGAGATTCAAAACAGTTTTCTAATGTTAGAAACAATACTATTCAATTAAAATATGCTGGGTTTTGTTTGGTTGTGGTGGGGGTGGGGGGGCAAAATAAGTTTCTCTGGTTATTTTCAAATATAAAAATAGAAAGTGTGGCATGTTGTTTTTACTGTTTATATTGCATTACTGTCTCCAATCATATTTGGGTATTCAATTCCATATTATTTAAAGGACCCATATCCTACAATTTTTACATTTTTATACAATTATTTTTCAACCTCTCTATCCACTATAATTAAACAGGCTGTCTTTGTTACTGTACACAAATGAGCTCTGTTCTGATTGGTAGTCATATATAGTGCCAAACAGTCCAGGCTCAAACACTCATGATAACTTAAATGGGTGGGGCTAATCAGCTGTATAGGTGGATATATGCAAATGTGTTGATTTTGTGACATTACAAAACCAATGGATTCAAAATGGGCTATTTTTGCAGCTTGCTTTCTTTATATGGACAGTATGGACTGAGAAATGAATGGAACAATTTTGAAACAATGTTTACACACTACATCCAACTCTGAACCAGAAAAGCAATTTCAATTTTGCATAACATGGGCCCTTTAAATAATAATTCAGCTTCATGCACAGTAAAAAAATCTTTGTTGTTTTAACTTAAATACGTAAGTAACCTGGCTGCCCTAAATCTTTGAGTTCAACCCCAGAAGTTCAGCTTTTATAACAAGAGACAAAAGAAGAAAAATCTGTGTTACTTTCAGTTAAATGACTATATACATTCAATAAAATCTTAATTTTAAGGCAGCCAGTTTAACCTACTTTAAAACATTGCAGCATTTTTTACTGTATACCAAAATAATCAAATTAAATCTAATCATTGTGTAATCTGATATTTTGTGATGCATTGAATCATTTTGTCATCAAGTATTATGATTAATCACTGCGAGAGATTTATCATATTGTATAGGAAAGCTTATAATGTCACTCTGCAGTACAGAGCTACTGTTTATTCTTTAGCTGTGCAACACATTAGTTTCACAGTGAAGAATATCAGCCTCTGCTCTCCTCTCTCACCAGATCCTGCCATGAAGATGGTAAAACTCTTTGCCCTCAGAGGTAGCCAGCCCCCTGAGCGAGGAGGAAAAACAAAACACACACACAGACAGACAGACAGACACACAAACATTACGAACATATGAATGCACACAAGTGTCCCTCAGAGTTAGCCATAACCCTGAGTACAGGGTAGAAAAATATCCTACACACATACACACAGGTCACTGTGTACCATAAATATAGTAAAAAAAACCCACACAGACCTCAGAGGCAGCCTCCCCTGCTGTCTGACACGTCACTCCTGAAGCCCCACCCAATCACACTTATACTCTCATAACCCAAATACAGACATTCCACTCAGCACAGTGGCACTAGCTGCTGTCTAATTCTGCCCATGAGAGAGCAGAAATGTTTCTATCAAGGAAGCTCATTATTCACTATTGTGATAAATTATGTCAGAGAACACTTTTCCCAGCATATTGTGTAGATCATAAGTACTCAAAACACTTAAAACACTGACCTGCTTACATAAATGGCATGATTAATCCTCTTGACTGGATTTAGTGCAGTACAGTGTGTAAAACAATCATTATTTTTTCTATTCAAACCTCAGAAAAAAACAAATATCATGATATGTATTGTGTATCATAAAAATATCCTTAACCAGTGTGATATACAGTATTTTCGCAATATTGCTCATCCCCCTCTTATCAGTTTGGACAACACTGGTGTCCTAAAATATTTAGCTAGTGAAAACATGGCAGACAGAAAATAACTTGATGTTAAAGCCAGTCATCTAAACATGATTTAGTGAAAATCACAACTGAAAGTCCAAAGAACACAGTGCACTATTCATAAGGATGTATTAACATACGTTAATAACTGGGTATGCAAAAATAAATGAATACATATTGTTGGAATAATAATAAGAAGATGAAAGATCTCAAACGTCCATGAGATTTTTCTCAGCATAGAAAAGGAATCTTCACAATATTCCTTTTCTTCTAAGCGTGTATAAACACTGTTTTCTGTGACATGGTGTAATTGACTCCTTACCCATTCTTCACTGCATCAACTCTTCCACTTCCATTTCCTGCAAAGAGAGGCAGAGGACATTTTAAACACATACACCAAACATCTGAGCTCTACTGCAGATACATACGACTGGCTTTAGGGCTCATTTGAGAGGCAAATCCCCTTCCTTACAGCAGCTATAAGCGCACAATTCTCTGAGGCTGTTACGTCTGATAAGCTGCAATACCTTAGAGGACAGTGAAGCATCCATCCACACAAACACACACATACACTTTTCACTTCTTCCACCATTATACATCTGCAATTTGGTTAGGAGTGATGTTTATCAGAAAAGGTACTTTTCAGCAGAACAGACTTACCTGCCATAGTCGAGTCCTACCATAGCCCAAGTGATTTTGAAGGCTTCCTAGGCTCAGCCTTAATAATTAACTGGAATTTGATAAGTGGCTGCAGGTTCCCGTCTAAGAGGAAGTGCAACTCCCACTCGACTTAAACTCAGAGCACAGTGCAATACCGAACACAGCTTTACAGCACAAAGACAATGATGACACTATTATCTAACAAACAAAACACCTCTCTTAAACATAACCAACAACAGCAATAGCAACAACAATAATCAAGTTCAATAACAAACACTGCTTTATAGCACAAAAACAATGATGACACTTATCTAACATATAAAGCACTTGTCTTACAACAACAACAACAACAATAATAACAGCACAGTACCACTGTTTTACAGCACAAAAACACAATTATCTAACAAATCGTCACTGTCCAAAAAATCTCCATTTTTCTACATCATTTAAACAAAGCAGCATTGGGTGAAAATGTAATGAAGAACGGACTAATCAAATGTCCCAAATAATATCTTGACATTAACTTACATTAAAAGTAAAAAATATTTTATTTACCATTTCGAAGATTCTTTTTGACAGCAACGCCATAAAACACCTCCTTTAAACCCACAATAACATCAATAATAAGCTAAAGCACAATGAAACAAGGGAAGGAAAAAAACTATCAGACTGATGTTTCTTTTCAGAATGTAGTCTGAGATCATTTTAAAAGATTAATTTTTAATAATTGTACCTACTGTAGTTTGTTGAGCGGGCATGCACATTACCAGCGCAGAAATTCAGCGTCCTTTCCCAGAGTATGCAGATGGCAACAGAATAATCAGAAAACTGGCAGGCTGTTCAGATCTCCCAGTTAGATGAACTAATGAGATGTGTCATGTGAACTGAAGGCCCAGCACCAGCCTTTGTGTGCTCCTTTTTACTAAGGGTTGCTTTCTAGGTCTCTGCAAACTGCAGCAGTGGAGGCCAGACAGAAAGCTGAACTGCCTTCTTACTCTAGCTTTATACTGCATACTGGATCCAGTGAAAAATGCAGCCTGCAGATGTAACAGGCTAAAGGGATGGGAAACAATAGCAAACACAAAACACAGTTATCATCTCAAAGGACTGTGGTATTACACGACAGTCCCAGTCACACAGGACAACGGCACTTGCATAGCAATAATCACGTTAACTCCAAGTTAATTTTGAAAAACAAGGAGAAAAAAAAGGGGGAAAAAAAGCCACAGTAAAATAACAATAACCAAACAAACAGATCCCAATTAGCTTTACTGACAGGTTCCAAAGCCAGCTTGGCCCTTACAGACCATTAATCATTTAGTCAAATAAATAAATAAATACTTAACAAAAAATATCAATAACACAACAAAATTCTGCATTATGGGGTGGGGGGTAATTTTTAATAGAAAATTTGATTTAATAGAAAATTACACATCCTCAACTTAAATGTAATGATATTCAGTATTGAGTGCACCTGCTCTGGTTTCATAGCAGCTTCCATTCTATTCAGGAGACTTGTTTTCAGTTTTCCAACAAATCTGCAGGAAAATTGTTTCACCCCTCTAAAGTTCAGTCTTAGAAGTTGGTTGCATGTTCTGCTTCTTGTGATCTGAGTAATCCCAAACACATTCAGTGATGTTGAGGTCTGGACTCTGGGGTGGTCAGCATTGTTCTGAGAACATCAGCAGTTTAGTTTAGAGGATGGAAAAACGTGTGCATTTTTTCAGATCTGAAACAAGAGGGGAGCTTGATTTTCTCTTCTCTCAAAGATGTAAGCTTTAAATACTCTTATCTTATGGCGACTTTCCCCTTCCTTATGCAAGTGGATCCCCCGATATCTGATCTAGTCAGAAACACCTCCTGAAAAATGAATAACTTCTATTTCATGGCAATTTTGACTGGAAACTAAAGAAAGGTGGTCTCTGACCTTTGCACGGTGCTGTATATATTCTAAACACTTTTAAGTAATGGCTGTCCCAGTCTTATGCCTTCCATTTAAAATGTATTACTAATAACCAGTGTGAAGTTGGGAACACATAACAGCAAGAAATGACCAGAACCATGTCAGAGCATCTTTATATTTTATTCACATATGTTACATTTTGCATTAAATGTCTGTCACCCTTTCTGACTTGAGATCAGAAAGTTTGAATCAGCACCTACAGTAATGTACTGTATTTCTGCCTCTCTGTCAGTCACTCATCTCACACCACACCAAGGACAAGTTGCAGCGTTCAATTCCAATTAACCCATTACTCTCCACAAAACTGTCTATACAATGGATGGGCTGAGAAAGAAAACAAAAGAGAGAAAAACTGAAAAGGAGAAAAACAGCAGCATGCAAGAATTCAGGACAAAAATGAAAGACAGAAAGGAGCAGAGAAGTTAAGTGCCTGAAGCATCTCCCTCAGCATTGAGTGGCTGCAGCATTGATGACACGAGCCAATAAAAGGAAACTGGGGCTTGTAAACTAATGTGATTATTGCCAGTTCTGCTATACAGGTTTCAGAAATGTTGTCTATTTATTTCCATCACATTAAGTCTTCTCACAATTGATGAGTCCAGATATCACTGCAGAGTTTTCTAATACTTCTTTTGGCTTTGAACAGGTGCTTTGTGTGCATATCTTCTCTTTCTCTTACTACCCCAACAGTTCAAACTGCATCAGACCATTTACTACTGCATGGGTAAAAAATAAGATTGCACAAGGCTACATTCTAGGATAATAACATGGATAATATTTTTTTAGTATAAAAAGTGAATGGAAACATTCAAAATATGTCCACTGTTGTGACAAAACTACATGAGATGGGAAACAATAGGCATAATTTTTGTGTTTAGAATGACTGAAACCGTACAGCTACAGGCTTACACACCCCATAAGTCATGCAGTCCTGTGTAATCAACACCTTTTGAACTGATCAATACAAAACCAAAACATGCTTTTTGGTGTGCAACGGTGGCTCTGTCTCAAGAGGTGGGCTTAAAAAGAGGACTGTGGACAAAAGGGCTAGAAGGGACAGGAGTGAAATGAAGCACTGAAAAGTCCCAACTTTAGTCAAAGTCTGGAACCGACAGCATTCAGAATCATCTTTAACAGAATCGCAAGGTTTGGTTCTCTTTCACCTTCTCAGAGTAAACTGACAAATGAGAGAGAGGAGAGAAGGGAACACAAACAGGTTAACATAGTAAACAAACAAATTAGAAGTTACAACCAAGTGCTTTAGAAGGTTTTAAAGACAAGTCCATGTGAATTGAACAGTCTTGCTTTGGAAGGGGCAGCCGAATAGCAGTAAAATAAATGGTAAAACATCTATGCAAACATTTCAACTACATTCTGAAATCCTTCTGAAAGCAATTATATGGAGAACCACGTGAGACCCAATTTAAATCCCTGTACAAGTGGCCACTGACAAAGAATCCTACAAAGTACTGCATCCAAGTACATGTCTGACTTGACAGAGACAAACTTCAGCAAAATACGATATTTTAACTATTTGGACAGAACCATCACAAAAGCATAGCGAGAAATGGTCCTTTATCTTGACCCAAAGGGAACGTTTGATTTTAGTCCAAAATTGAGCAGGTCAATCAGTACAGAGGGGACATCACTGTGGACCAAGTCATACATTTTTGACTAGTGAGGGAAAGACAGAGGTGATTTTTTTCCCTTCTTCTTCTAAAGACCACTTTAAACCTGTGAACATATATTACTTTACTTGAAACCAGTGAAATTTCATTCCTGTGGCCCCTGCTTAAAGAAAGGTATAGCACTACAATGACGTTCTACTATCCTTAAAGACAATCTGAAACGCCTTTATATAAAGTCTTAAAAATATGAACTTGTAAATGCCACAAATCTCCAGCTGCATTACGCTGAAATACCAATTTTGATTGTATTATGGGTGCTATGGAGGTCACCATAACCTGAAGCTGAGGTTTCTGGAAGTTGACCATGTCTGCTGACGTTGGAGCAGTCTTCTCTTATGCCGAAAGCTTATTTGATTAGGGAACGAAAGCTATGTAACATCAATTTGCGATGACTCCCAAAATGTGACATTTCTCATCTTAGCATGGCTGCATGACATTTTGCTGGCAGAATTTCTTTGCTTACTTTTGAGACGTTTTTATATTGCTGAATTTAGAAAGGGAAACTTAATGCTGTTTTCAACCTGTAGCAAATTAAACGGGTGAGTTCAGAAAAGCTTTGTGATTGGCAGAGTTTATGGGAAATATCTGCATCTCTTGCAACTTTATATTTAAAGGAAATCCTCAACAACCCTGCCAACTGCTATGAACACAGCCTTCTGTTCTTTGAGAAAAAAAAAAGTTTTAAATCATACAAATCATCTTTACAATGTTATAATTAACTCTTAACAATGAATAGCAGCATTTATTTAAATATTAAAAAGTTTCTCTTCAACTACAGCAGAAAGAAATTCCTGAGGATGGTTGCAACTAGACCTTAAACCAGAGATAAGTCTCATTTTACCTTGACTACAATCGGCTGATAAATCCATATTTTGTTTAACTTCTAAAACACACGTCATTTCATTCACTTCAAAGCCAGTCCATGGCCCGATTACCGGAAAGCATCCAAAAGATGGACAGTCATTTTTGTTCTACTATTCAGCTTTGATCTCCTTGTGGTAGAATTCTGCTTAAATGACACTTCTATTCCTTACCAGCACGTAAATATCTCTGAGTGTAGAATGAAATGAGATATGCATCAAATCACTTAGTATGACAAACATTGTTACTCACTGCACTAGTCACGGGGTTATGATCATGGTTGATAATCACGGTTGATATGCTCTTCTTTAACCAGTATGGTACCTCCATCCAGTTAGCACTGATAATAAATGTTTCTTCTCGTTTTTGATAATGACTCAGATATCTATTTTGTAAAAAAAGAAATCCTGCAGGCCAGATTTTGGTCAAGATTTCCTGTACTGAGAACGTATTCTTCAGAAACAACAAACATTTGTGGACTTTTTGAGAGGTGCAATTAAGTAACTCATGCTTCAAATAGCACTCACTCAAATGCACTCAAGTTGCTAAACTGTGCTTTCACTGTGAGCTTGTCCCAAACAAAAACTAAATTCCCCATCTTCTCCATTTCCAAATCCACACAGAAACCACTTTAAAACCACACACACACACACACACACACACACACACTCACTCATGCATACAAACACATACACGCACACATGCATACACACACACACACACACACACACACACACACGCATACACGCACACATACTGTTAGTCATTAGGCATGATTGTACAATAAACTTCACATAACCAAGGCTGTAGCAGCAATCCACTCACGGCTTGTTTCTTTTATATTACATGATAGCATTTATCAAAAGGAGATACAGAGGGTGGCACTCATGCCCAGTGTGTTCTGGCTGCTCCAGGTTTGTTTTGGGGGTGTCATGTTAAAGTCCGTTGTAGTGGGGACCCCAGCGTTTGTTAATGTGGTCGAAGGTGTGGGACACCCATTGCTGCTCCAGCACTCGGTACCTCTCCTCACACAAGAACAGAGGTTTGCCCCGACTGCAGACAAACACAAACAACAACTTAAAAACACTGTCACAAAAACAACAATTCAACTTAACATTTTAATGTGAACAACCTCATTAATCAAATGAAGATCAACTTCAAACCCATTTATTGGTGGTTCATTAAGCTACGTGGGCAGCATGGGAGTATGTGGGTGAAGAGCAGTGAATGTGAGTATGGGTACCGTAAATCTCTGTCTTCCTCTCCATGAGCATCCAGATAAACAGACCCCCACAGACAGAAACGATGTCCCCGAATGATGATGATGACGGAGGCGTTTATCAAGAGGAAGATTCCAGTGGCAGCTCCACAATGCTGAGAATGCTATGGAAGCAGAAAAGGAAGACCCTCATCACCATCATCAAGTGGTGGGTGGTATGGCCAAAAATTTATATCACTGTATAATTAAAATTTTGGATACTTTTGGTACACTTCATGGCATATGGTATGGTATATGCATTTATATACACCTTTTTAAATAACTAATATTCAAATGCTTAAGAAAACCTGTTTTTGTAGGTTAACAGTGATTTAATATTCTGGGATGTCTCCACTTTTAGTAAGAACCATATTTCATTTTTAATAAGAATCATATTTATTTCTTATTATTATTACACAAACTAGTAAAAACAGAACTGTAGATAGGTAAACCTATTGTGCATTTACATAAGCACATAGGGGCTTCTCTGGACTATGCAAAAACTATTTTTGTCTCATAGGCACATCCCATTCACTTGTGCTTACACCTATGACATCAGAGGGTGTTTCAATTTGGTTACTCTTGTGGGGCCAAATGTAACCTCATAACCTGCACCGTCTGGGGACAACCATGAAAACTTCTGGGTTATACATGGACTTCTTAGGGTGGGGACAAACTGAGTGTAAAATTTAAACCAATCTAACTGAAGGCGGAGCTCAGAGTAGGGGGCGATGTTGGCTTGTCAACCCGGTCAGATGGAAAACAAGCCTTTTGTTAGCCCATTGATTTAAATCAGCAGTAGCAAGATTGCTTTGCTTGTGATGGTGATTACCCTGGACGTGAAAAAAAACATGGACAACAGGAATCAAGGGGCGGGTTTTAATAGGGATGTACCCTTACACGAAATCCGTCGCAATTCAGCACCAAAAGTTCAACAAGTGGACCTGAGACATTTTTTCTCATTGAGAGATCAAGTCTGGCCCAGTAAGACAAGAATTTGGTAAACGTTACAAGTCATTCATGCTATGAGAAGCACATGGGACCAGGCCCAGAGACTACAGCATAGTCTGATGCAGCCGAATAAGGCAGGTGGTGCAAGAGGAAAAAAGGAAACAGAAGAGTGTGGCAAAAGGGGTGGTGTCTATGCTAGAAACCAGCTGTTCCTTCGCTATTTCCCTCCAATGTCCGCTGCCTTGATAAACATGTGCCACTTCAGACAGCAACTGTCTACACGGCAAGAGACAAGAACTGCTGAAACATCCCTGACTCACCAATTCAGCCAAGTGGGTTAACCTTAGCACGTTTTGCACTGCTTGTATGTTGGGTTTTCTGCACTTATATCATTATGCCAGAAATAAAGTTATGACAAACGTGGTACCTTAATTTTTAATCAGCATACCAGATGAACTGGTATATCGCCCACTACTAACATCACCACTATCATCATCATCATCATCATCATCATTATCATCATCATCATCATTAACAGACGGGCTGTTTGTATTAACCTTCAGATTTCTTTAATTCAACTTTCCCCTGCCAACATGCCAGGGTCATTCTCTAGCTTCAGCTGTATTAATTGTTTGCTTAATTTTAACTTCTTCCAAGACCGATAAGTGCTTGGATCACTTGGTTCTGTTAAAGAGGAATTCAAAATAACACAAAGTAACACACAAGGTTCCATAGTTTGGTGGTCACAGTTAGTAAGGCAATCTGAACAAGCAACAGACCATCCAATGTTTATCCATAAAAGAAATTAAACCTGATGCAGCCCAACGAATGGTGTGTGAGCCCAGGGAGCAGCCTTACTCACCAGTACACACTCGCAGATCCCCTGTTGTTTGCAGCAGAGGCCCTTGAGGCAGACAAAGGCCCCACACACCAGGCACAGTGCAGGGTCCTTGGGTGTTTTATTGCAGACGGAGCAGGATTTCCGATGGTAGTACTGGAAAATGGTGTTGTAGTTGTCAGGGAGCTGCAGCAGGCGAGGAGCAGCCCACTGAGGGTCCTGCACCAACAGAGTCTGCAAAAACAAAAAATAAAATAAAACTCTTTTCTTTAACTAACTGTGTGCATGCTGAATAGCTGTGTTGGGTGTGGTTCGCAAAGCTATACTGCCCACCATGGCCTGCTGTGAGGGAGCACCAGCTAGGCTGATGAGCTCAGAGCACCACTGGGAGAGCAGCTCAAATGGGTTGATGTTCCACTCCAGGCACGTTGCACTGTTCATGGAGCTGCTGGACTCGGCCGAACCGGGCAGCAAACCCACACAGCCAACCAGCAATGAGAACTCCTCCTCTACCTGCAAACACAGACATACAGACTGTGAGCTGGAGAGTCACTAATATGTGCAAATCTAATAAGTGTATATGCTGTTTTGCGGGATTTTGGAATGGCAACTCAGCAGTTAAGATCATCATGATATGATATGTACATCAATACTCTTTTTTTTATGAGGTTTGATACCACATGTGCATCTGTCTAAAAATAATTGTAAAATCGAACTGACATAAACTGGAATGTCTTCCACTGTTTTATTAAAACAAAATCGATGATATACATAAAAAGATACATAGATGTGTTACACTCGAAACAATTTGCACTTTTGTATTTATTTGTCTTCTAAGAAAATTACTTCTTTGTGTTAATTCCACATTAACCAAGCACTGTGGTCTTGTTCTGGTTTTGCTGGCCATTCTTTTTTAGCTTTGTATCAAAAATGTATTGTATTGTTGTATAAAAACCACACTACATATTATTTTTAGAAATGTATGCATCATTAAACTCCTACAACAGGGGTCATTAAATATACTTGACCATGGGCCAAATTTTTCCAAATCAAATTCTCTTTTGGGCCGGTGAATGTACACCACAGATGGAAATATCACAGCTAGGTTAGTGTAAACTGCGACATAAATATGATATTTTGATCATGATTGTGTGAGAGTACATGTGAAGTATTACCAGGCAGCCAGGCAGGTTGTCCCCATAGAGATGGTGCTGAAGCAAGCAGGAGAGGCGCAGGAAGGGCAGACAGAATTGCTGCAGTGTAAACTCTATAGACTGTGGAGACCAAACACTCGAGCTCAACTAGACACAGAGAGGGGAAGACAGGGAGACAAAACAAAGTCACACCTCATCAATAATCATTCATGACCTGTTGATAAAGCACGGATAGATACGGTAGTTGGAGGAGAGCTGCATCTCAAAAGCCCAGCTACAGCAGCCATGGTGTTATTCATCAGAGAGAGGGGGTGAATGACAGAATGAGGCGCTGAGCTAAAATAGCCTCAAAACCCAACTGACACACTCGCCCTTGCAAAAACAAGGGCATGGCTGTTCATTTCCCTGTTTCCAAGACCCTCTTGAAAGCTGTTTTTGCCCGATATGTCTTAAAGGAAATAAATAATATTATAATTAATAAAATTAAATAAAGATTTGATAATACCATTTAATTTGAGTAAGCCAAGCCATAATAATTTATAACTAATTTTATTTATTATAAATTATTATGGCTTGGCATTCATACTGAAAATATACATATCCAAAAGTTTGTAGACACCTGCTCATCCAATGTTTCTTCTGAAATCAAGAGTATTAACAAGGAGTTTGCCCCCCTTTGATGTACTAACAGTCTCTGCTATCTTGCAAACTTCACACTAGATATGGAAACATTGCAGGGAGGATCTGATTGTATTCAGCTACAAAAGCATTAGTGAGGTCTGGTGCTGATGTTAGGTGATTAGCTCTTGTTTACAAACGCTACTCCAACTCATCCCAAAGGTATTGGATGGAGCTCCATCACTCCAAAGAACACAGTTAAGGGGAGAATTAAACCCTTGCAACCAATGTTTGGTATTGGGCATGGTGATCTTAGGCTCATGTGGCTACTCCAAAGCATCCAATTCTACTGGTATTGCTCTTCTATGGAGATTATACAATCTGCGTGTGTGTGCTCGCAACTGAACACCTGCTTCAGCGATGCACCTTAAAGAAGCTGAAGCTGAGCTTAAAGGTGTCTGGATACTTCTGGACATACAGTTTATGCTGAAAAACAGCCACAGGGATGTGTAATCACACCTAAACTTGTAACAGCCATAAAGACTAAAGACTGTATTGTATTTGTAATGTAATACCTAAACATGTGAACATGTTAATTTTATTTAAATCAACTCAGGGATTTGTAATCTACTCTGTACAGATGTCCATTAGCACTCTTCAGCTAGGCTGCAAAGAGCAACTGCATTGAAACACTGAGCAACATAACTTCTAATGAAATAAATACAGTATCGTATGAGTTAAGCGTATGAGTGTATGAGCATGAGTGTATGAGTATTGTATGCATATTGTATGCATCTTTCTTTATAAGTGTGCAGGACTACATGTTGTGGGACTGAGACTGTTAGGTATCAGTGCACTCTTACCATAGACTCCTCAGGCCTGCTCTCATACACACCCCTAGCCTTAGTGAGCTCACTGATAACATGGCTCAGGAGTGTCTCCCATGTTTTTTCAGAGTTTGGCATGTTCTGTGTATAAAAGGACAATAAAGGTTAATGTGACACACACACAGTCAGTAAATCAATGGACATATTAATGAATGCAAATGCACCATTAAGTAAACTGAATGAAATATTGAATGTATTGAGGGGGGGGTGGGGATACCTAAAACTGTACAGCCTAACACCTTCATGGATGGACAAACAGAAATCAATATAAAGAACACCTGTGGTACTGCACGATTTTTGAAGTGTTGATAATTAGTAATGCATTGAAACGGGTACAAAGAAGTAAAGCACTCTCTTCAGAGCTTGTGTGTGTTGATAAGTGCAGTGACATTATTGAAAAGGGGCAGATAAAGCCCCCTGGCTTAGAGTAATATTTTACAAGAGCTGAAACACTGTGCGTTTATCATGCTGAATACATGAGAATTTAAAACAGAACACGCTTATCACTCCTACTGCTTGCTTGCTGTCTGATTTATTAGCCATGAGGTTTATGCCTTTCTCATGCATTTTCATGCCTTTCTTATGCATTTTTCTGTGTGCGTGTGTGTGTGCACGAGTGTTTACTGTGTTCACTGTGGCCACACAATGCTATGGCCTCAAATACAAGTTAACTGAAAATGCATCCACAATGGGGAATTCAGTAACAAGCTTCATTTTCAGTGCAGCGTGAGAGAGACATAAGAATGACTCTGGGGAGAGAAAAGGCAGCTTCTCCCTTAATGACAAAATGGAAGGCAGAGGAAACACGTATCTGAATAATGGGGAATTAAGCCAGTCTGAAGGACAATGAGAAACTCCACACATTTGTGTTTGTCCATTTATATTCCATGCCTCCCCTTTCTTCAATTGCGATTTAATAGAGTGGAGAGCTAACATACCAATCCTCACCGATAATGATGCGCTTCCATAATGATGATCAACATGCTGCATTTAGAGCTTAAACCGTTTAAAAACAAATGTTGTGAGGCTCTCATTCACTCACTCTGGTACCCATACACTATATGTGCAAAGTTGTTTTCAAATACTGGAGTAATGTTACATATTAAAATATAATTAATATAATAATAATAATAATAAGCTTTTGTGCCCTTAACAGGAACTCCTGAGCTTGAAGTTAGTGTAATCTACCTTATTTGGTCTCATGTTTCCTCTTTCTGTATGAACCAACTTGCATGCAGTAACAGAAAATATTCTCCCTTTAAATTTAGATTTAGACTAGCAGATAAGGAATTTAACAAGAATGTTTAGCCAATAAAATTACAACAAAAATTGCTAGCATGTCTGAAATGATTAACCTACTTGATACAACCCCCCTGTGTACCAACAAATGATTGGCTGTACCTTCTTGGCCGCCACAGTGTTGCTCCATGCTAATCTCTCCTCAGGGCTGAATTTGACTGATAGGGCTGCCAGGGCCTGAGTGTACTGTAGAGTGTAGAGCACCTTGACTATACATGTAAAATGTTCTGTAACAAAAAAACACAACACACAAACATTACTTGTCAAAATGAAGAGATGCGCACTGAATGGCCAAAATCTAAAGGAAAAAATATGGTTACCATATATATGTTACAGATTACACTACATATATTTCATTCTGTGATACCGGACATCTTGGAACAATAAACATAGCTTAGTTTTTAGAGACTCTGAAATTTCAATAAGTGTGTTATTTTTTCCACCCATGTAACAGTTGATCTCGCTGTACTAATAACCTTAATGTTTCAAACTAGCCGACAGCTTTTAGGTGAAAATAAATAAATGAAATAAAAAAAAAATAATAATAAAATAAAAAATAAAAAAATTAAAAAAAAAAATAAAAAAAAAATATATATATATATAATAATAATAATAATAATAATAATAATAATAATAATATATATATATATATATATATATCACACCTCAGTGTAGAGTGTAATGTTGTCATGGACACTATAAAATAGCACCACTGCATTGTGATAAGACAAGTTGTAATCTGAGCAGATTTTTTGTGTGACACAGTCCCTCCTCTAAGCAAGTAGATACCAGAGATAGGTAAACATTCACAGCACTCACAGCCATGGTACAGTAAAGAGAGAGGTGGTCCTGAACTCTTCCCCCTCATTATGGTGAAAACTCATGGCCCACTTGGCTTAGAGCAGGAAAGCTATGTGTATATGAAGTAAAAGGTGCATCAACATAGTAAACATGCGTTTTACAAGAAAGTGGTTTTATTTAACAAGCAGCTTGGGAGACTGTGAAGAGGCTAATCCAGTAACAGACATATTAACGGCAAAACTGGAACATACAAATGAAATATGTTGCCTGAATGTCTGTAATGTAGCTTAAAATGTCCATGTGAAGGCTGAAGCTGTGTAGCATCAACTCTTCTAATGTAACACTAAAAAGTTATTAGGACGCTAGTAAAAATAAGCATTAACGTAGCAATGGATAAAGGAGCTTCTAGATGTCTCAAGGAGTCAGGTGGGAGCTCAATCAAACTCCATTAATGTGCCATTCTCCAGAGGCTCACACTGACAGCTCACACACCAATATATATGTGTGTGTGTGTGTGTGTGTGTGTGTGTGTGTGTGTGTGTGTACACATGGTCATGTCTTGACCTATTAGTTCAACCCTATAGCATTACTAAAAGACTTCATTCACACCTATCTCTCATTGTGATGTGTTAAAATCAATTCTCCATCACCCAATGAGAGCTGTAATGATGTTTATGCTGGTGTTGATCAATGCTGGATTGACACGAATCTAGAGTGACTTTGAACGCATTGTGTACTGTTCCCCTGAGCACAGTCTGAAGGACAGACAGCAGAGGGAGGAGTATCCAGCTTCACACAGGAGCTTTTAAAAAGCTGCTCAATTGCCTTTTGCTGCAGCAGAGGCCAGCGCACTTACTTCCTCTCATAAACGTCTCTGCTGTTTTCTGCGTTGGTCATTTTCATTTGAGTGGTAATTGAAGCTTGTTGGAAGGCTGTGTAAAATGAGGAAAAGGCAGGTGTGCCAGAGTGCTTTTAGATTGAACGCAACTTCACAGTTAGATGAGCAAGAAAGCACTTAGGAGGAAAATATGACAGGTTTTCTTCAAAAGCTCCTCTGAAAACCTGACCCTGTTCATACACAGGAAAAAAAAAAAATTAAAAGCATGTCTCCATGCAAGAAAACAAAGACATGCATTTTACCGCTCAGCTCCACTGGTAGCCCTTTGGTCAATTCAATGTCACATTAATTGCTTTCAGATGTTTATTGTGACTTTTACTTTGCATGTTATAGGGCAAGGGTGCCCTTTCTCAACTGTAAATGGCCAGTGTGGCTGCAGGTTTTCATTTCACCCAAGCTGGTGTACACCTAATTCCGCTTGTTTCTTTACTTGGTGCCAGTCTTCAAACAACTAATCAGGCGTGCTCCCACTTGGCTGGAATGAAAACCTGCAACCACATCAGCCATTTGTGGACAAGACTGGACATCTCGGCTCTGATAGTGTATTCTCATGCTATGATCCCAACATAAGTTATGTTGTACTACAAATATATATGTTACAGATCTAACTACATAAACAGGCAGATCCCAAACTAACTCCAAAATGTCAGCTAAAGACGAAAAAGAAAGAAAACAGAACAGTGAGAAAGGAAGGAAAATGCCATGTGATGCTCCCTTTTTCTGTGCTACTCCCCACATGAGTTCCACAAGGCCTATATAATTTTATAAGGTTTATATGACATCCCCTCTATATCAGCACCCATCCCCCTCCTGATTGCTGCAATTTGGGCCATACCCTTAAGCTTTTAGAACACACAAACACACACACACACACACACACACACACACACACACACACACACACACACAGAGAGAGAGAGAGAGAGAGAGAGAGAGAGAGAGAGAGAGAGAGAGAGAGAGAGAGAGAGAGAGAGAGAGAGAGAGAGACCTTTTTTTGAGGTCTGTACACATGCACACACACACGCACACATAGACACACAGACAGATAAAGGGACGGAGGGTAGCAGATAAGGGAGCAGGGCTGTGTGCTGTACTGCAGCCCTTTGGGCCAGGGTTAAAGCTGATACAAGCTCATCACACACAGGCCACACAGCATTAACCAGTGTTCCTGAGAAAACTGTTCACGTTCCTGAGAGAGCTGAACCCAAGACCTATTTCAAAACATATTTCAGTTCAAACATGGTCTGTCTGAACCTCTGTTTTTGTATTCTAAGCAGGTGTTACAAGTAGGGCCAAACCAGAAAATTCTAATAATCAACAATGTCAGCGGATATTCTATATATTGTCAAATGGTAAATAGACCACATCACTCCTCCAGTGCTTTTTGAGTGATGTGATTGTCAGCTGTCAGGTGTCAATTACTTCCTCTGAAACAGCAGAAACTCACAACATAAAAATATAAACAGGTCATGAATAACATTATTATTTAAGAAAAAAAAACAAAAAACAAAAAAAAAAACACACTTGTTCCAAAAGGTTTTATGTGGTATAATACAACCACATTTCACAAATATCTTTTCAGAAACTACCACACAATACTGCCATGTGTGGAGCAGTGCTGTTATTCAGAACACAATTCACACGCTATGAATGAGTGAGTGACAGTTCATTTTAGGCTGCGAGGTCCACAATGACTTGCATTTTTGCAATAATGATAAATTGTTTTAGCAAGTTATTAGCCTCCCTTAGTGCCCGATATGTTGTTCAAAATAGTATAACGTGCATGCATGAGGGTTATTATGTATTACATAAACAACCATTGCTTTATAAGTGGGATTTCCATCGATTGCACTGAACCTCTGTAGGCTAAGCAATACACCGGTCAGACGGTCAGAGTCAGGTAAAGGAGCTAGTACCTTTGCGTAGGGGCTGAGGCATAGTGAGCACAAAGATGATGAGTAAGGAGGGGACATCTCGAAACAGCATGGGCACCTCGGGACGCTCCTCATGCCCGTACCTACACAGAACATACACATAAGCGTTTGGTGAAATCATTATGAATAGTATTCCAAGCATTTAAGCAAATGCATAAAACAAACAGATTTATAACATTTATTAAACAAACAAAATGGGCAGCCTCGTCTCGTGCCTACTGTCGCCTTCCTTGTACAATTTAGCAATAGAGCCATTAGCTGAGGCAATAAGAACAGATCTTAACATACATGGTTTGAATACATCTAAAAAAGAACACAAAATCACATTATATGCTGATGATATTTTGATTTTTCTCTCTAAACCACACACATCAATCCCTAGCCTCATTAGTATTATTTCCAAATTTGGTCTCTTTCCAGGTTATAAAATAAATTCAACTAAGTCCATAGCTATGCCCATGGGTAGCTTAAAACAAATACCACAAAATCCATCACCTTTTCCTTTTCAGTGGTCAGAGACAGGCTTTACATACTTGGGAATATTCATAACCCCTAAATTTAATCAGATGTTCAAAACAAACTTCACTCCATTGCTGGATCGTATCAAACTAGATTTGGAGAGATGGCATGCTCTCCCTATCTCTTGGATAGGCCGTATAGCATTGATAAAAATGAATGTCCTCCCAAGACTGCTTTACCCTATACGGATTATTCCAGTCCTTTTCCCAAGCAAGTCTCTTAAAACTCTAGATAAGTGGTTCAGTTCCTTTATATGGACTAAGAAGAGGCCACGACTGAACATGGCAGTTTTACGTCTTCCGGACATGAGAGGGGGTTTTCACTTCCTGGATATTAAAAAATATCAGCTATGTGCTCACTTACGTTTTATATCTGATTGGATACATGAAGACAACTCTTCCTTGTGGTTTGATATCGAAAATTCACAAACAAAATATCCCTTACGAAACTTGCTATTTTTTAGAAACTTTAAGTCAGTAAGAAGCTCCTGTGAGAATCCCATTGTAATTAACACTGTTAAAGCATGGAGAGTTATCATGCATCTGGAAGGTAGATCCAAGCTGACTTCTATTTATACTCCTATATGTGATAATCCTGACTTTCTCCCGGGTGTTACAGATTCTCATTTACGTTTTTGGACATCGAGGGGTCTTTCTCGCCTGAGGGATTTATTTGAAGGGTCCACACTGATGTCGTTCAGTCAGATATCTGATAAATATGCCATTCACAAACATGACATCTTTCGCTTTTTTCAGATAAGGGACTTTGTAAGAAAGGACACAACGCTTCACCTAGATATGCAACCCTCTCAGATAGAGAGACAGCTTTTTCTGCCCAAACAGAATAGATCTACTAGCTTCTTTTATAATATATTAAGAGAATATCTCAATGCTAACACTCATTATTGGAGGAAGGTTTGGGAAACTGAACTTGATATAGAGATAGAGGAGGATGTGTGGAACAAGGTTTGGAAGAATGCAAACTATCAGTATATGTAATAAAGCAAAAGCTATCCAGTTTAAAATCTTACACAGAGCGCATATATCTCCAAGTCACTGTAGTAAATTTAAAGAGGGTTTTTCTCCTATGTGTCCTAAATGTAAAGTGGAGCTAGGTTGCCTCACCCATTGTCTGTGGACTTTTGGGGGGAGATCTCACAGGAACTGTGCAAGATTTTCAGAACCGATGTAAGGATGGACCCATTGTGTTTATTGCTTGGGTTGCCAAATAATTATATTTCTGACAAGTTTAAGAAAAAACTCTGTAATGTTTTAACATTCTGTGCAAGGAAATGTATTTTGTTACAATGGATAACAGATAAAATACCCTCCATAGCAAGCTGGCACAGAGTTGTTTTGGAACATGTATCTCTAGATTACTTGACACACCTGTTACATTCAAAAACAAATGTCTTCTGCAATATTTGGGAACCTTTTCTGCTGTATATTGGGTCAGATCTCTCAAGCATTCTGGTGAGAGCACTTGTATAGTTTACTGTGGCATTTTGATATGTTGGTCAGCATAAATATTTGTGTATGTAAGCTGGGGTTGTGTTTTTTTTTTGTTGTGTTTTTTTAATTAATTAATTTATTTATTTTTTGTTATGTGTGTATGGTGTATGCTTGTTATGTTGAGAAAAATGTAATAAACATAATTATAAAAAAAAAAAATAATAATAATAATAATAATAATAATAATAACAAAAATCCTGACTGCAAAATTGACCAAACAGAAATCAACTAGGGTCGCAATGATACCAATACCATATTAGTATCTTCACCGATACTGGCACTTAAAAGCTGTATCAGTACCGGCGAAGGGGACACAGATACCAGTGACCGATACCATGAAGTGCGCATGCACCTAAAAGTTCACACATGGCAGTAGATGAAACTTAACATGCTGACGCTGTGTGCTGACAAGCAGCAATGCAAATGCTCATGCCAAAATTTGTAATGCCAGTTTTTCATGGGAATGCTATAGTAGTGACTGATAAACTAGCTGTAATTCTTCCTAAGGTATTGGTTTCTCTGGTATGCCATAAATAAGCCAGTTAACAGTGTACAAACAGTGTCTACAAAAAAACCCCAACTGGAGCCCCTTATCTGAATGGCTGAGCCTCCTTTAGTAATCCCTCATCTCCCTCTGTGTAGCCAGTTACAGTCATGTACCAGTGAGTTAATGTTGGTCCAGGTTGCTATTAATGGCATGAACGTTAGAGAGACACATGGAAGGAACCACCGGTCTCTTGGGGTAACGATAGCCTTTAGGTGTGGTTTAGCATTTAGCATAGCAGCCTGCTATCTGGGCTATTGTGTCCACTAGACCTGGCTGCTGTGCATCTCCTTCGTACAGCTGCTTCATGCAGCAGGGGTAAAAAAAAAAAATAAAATAATAATAATAATTTTCTTAAGCACCTTAAACGGTTTATATAATATGTTATGAGACACAGCTTTTACCAAAATAAAACATTTAAAAAGTGAAACTGCACAAATATTAACATTTACAAGCTAGTTTGGTTAGATAGAGTTAGTATCGGTACCGGCTGATCCGTACACATATTGGTATCGGAAAGGAAACAATGGTATCGGTGCATCCCCAAAAATCAATTGCTAAACCATACATAAGGAGGCAAACATAGAATATATATATATATATATATATATATATATATATATATATATATATATATATATATATATATATATATATATATATGTGTGTGTGTGTGTGTGTGTGTGTGTTGTTCTATATGACACTAGAAAAGGTTCTATTATTACAGCCTTGACATAGTAACAACAGAAGAACTCTACATAAAATCACATTCAACACATTCTCCATCAATCTGAAGAACGCTTTCATGATACAAAGAACTCTTTAATCATGCAAATGGTTCTTTGAGTGTTCATGGTTCTATATAGAACCATCTTTTTTACTGAAGAACTCTTGAAGAACTATCATTTTTAACTGTGTAAAGCAAGACAGATAAAAAAAACACACAAACCACTTCCACTACAGACCTTCAGTTTCAGTTCTGCACATCTCTCTGTATAGTTGTATTCTAAGTCCCAACCACTTTCTCTCTCTAGGCTATCTACATTTTCAACATAGAGTTTTAATTCATAAACTAAGTATAACACTTCAGACAGTATTCAAACTGCAAGATAACCCAAGCATATCAAAAACAAACATTTCCAAATTATTACATTATTCCATTTAACAGCAATATTTTTCCAGAAAAGGATAACACATGCAGTAAGCAGTGCAAGGAAGATTACCCCTTTTTACAGTAGCTATTTAAATAGTACAGTGGCCTGGGGGATCAAATGACAGTGCTCTCCTTTAAAAACCCTAACAAGGTATTTTTAACACTAAATGACTCCCCTCTGAATACTGCCTCGCTAAGAGACCTCTCACAGGTGCAAAAGCTGTCCTACTGCGCTAATCAGAGAGAGGAAGAGTGGGGGAGAGACGAACAGGGAGGAAAAGAGACAAGAGGAGAGAGGGAGGCCAACTGACATGCTGAGCATCAGAGAGAGAGGTGAATATGGAAGCATTTATCCTATCCGAGATCATTAAGTGTCTTATAAGTGGGAGCATGGCCTGAGCCACTTCCAGATCAACTTATTAACTCCTGCTGCATGAAAAGCAGCACGCAGACTACATTCAGAAAGTATGGCTGTGCTGTGGCATGAAATGCAGTGTACGCGATAGTGGACACAGAAAAGCAGGATATCAAGAAACCAAAGCACACATGCAAACAGGGCCCTTTTATTCAGAGACTAGAGGCAAAGGTCTTCTCTTTCTGAGCAGCACAGCACCCCGTAATTTGCCAGATGCAGCAATTATTGGTATCTATGGCAACCCCATATGGGCCTTTCATTTCTGTCGCTCCGTTTCTGGAAGAGAGATTGCTAGAGCCCAGAGGAGATGGCACCATTTAGAGTGAGGTGAAAGAAGCAGTCTGAATTAGTGTGTGCATGTGTGTGTGTGTGTGTGTGTATACTCACTCTGACTCTCTGTTCTGGGTGAGCTGTGTGAGACGGGTCCAGGGGTTATAAGCAGAATCGATGCTGTACAGACGCATGTGCATGGCCAACACATGGAACAACTGATCTGAAACACATAACAAAAGTACACATATTAATAGCATGAACTCACTCAGCAGACAAACAACTGCTCACAAAGACACAAAGCTCTCCAACACACAGACATCCAGCTAGCCACTTTTTAATCACAAATTCAGGACCAGCCTTACGAACATAATTTTATTCCACAAATAAATTGTCACTATCTGCAGATGTGCCAGGGTTTGGAAACTGAGTAAGAGAGTATTCAGGTTGAAGCAGTTTTTAACTCTATGTAGCTAGCAAAAGCTATTCTAAGAGCAGTCTCCTTGAACCCGAGCGTCACATAAATCCAGGTCCAAGCCCCAAATGAGCAAGCCAAGGGTGACTGAGGCAAGAAAAACTAAGAGCAAGAAGAAGAAACCCTGAGAGCAGCCAAGACTCAAAAGTGGAACCCATCCTCCTCTGATTGACACAAGATAGCAAAACAATAACACAACAAAAGCAATACAAATGGGTCATTAGATAAGACTTTCTGCATAGCAGATTTAAGCCACTTAACTAGAGAACAAACAATATGCCTAAACTTTGCAGCCAAGTATTCTATACTCAATATCTCAACTGGTCCTGCTCTAAAGCATCTGATCTGACAATACTGAAAATGTAAAGCTAGAAGAACAGTAGGGAAGCACTGGCAATGAGGACAGTGAGGACAGTGAGTGAGCCAGAATTCATAACCAGTCAGATCAATCACCCCACACAATTCCACAAAAACATTAGATCTACATATCACTGTGGATTTCATGACATCTGGGATGGAGAATGGCCTTTGGGCTACCAAAAAATTAAGCATGGACAGTGGTCTGTGACAGCCCTTCACTAACAGTGCCAAGGCCACACTCTGATTTCCAGATGCCTCAGGCAGCAAGCTTACCGTAGGACATCTTTCACATGGAAAAAGATGGGCACCTTCCACACTGGTCACACAAGATTCATGGAAACAGAAATGGTTTGTCTGGCATGTCTTATGAGAGCCTTAAGCACACTGAAGCTCAATCTATGTCAGCACCTTGTCTGCTGAACAAATGGTTTAAACAAATACTAGAAAGAGCAAATACTAGAAAAATGTTTCCAGAGAAAAGCATAGAACACACCTTCACCCCCAGCCTGGGCTTTCAAGGTAGATGAACAATACACAAAACAATACAACAAACCAAAAAAAAAACAAAACACAAAAACAAAAACAAATGAAGTCATTAGATCACTTCACCTTGCAGTGATGGCTACAGCTTCTGCAACTGAGTAGCACATCCATTAGTCATTACAAAAATCTCAAACAAAAGAAACCTGACATTCAGCCAATAACACCATTTTCCATCATATTTACATTTACGGCATTTGGCAGACACTCTTATCCAGAGAGACTTACAATTTGATCATTTTTACACAGGTAGGTGAACGTAGTGTTAGAAGTCTTGCCCAAGGACTCTTATTGGTAAAGCGTAGGGTGTTTGCCCAGGCGGGGATTGAACCCCAGCCTACAGCGTGGAAGGCAGAGATGTTACCCACTACGCTATACCAACCACATTTCATATTTCTAAATTTAGTTCTCTATTGGACTCATGAAAATGCACTAGAGGACTGGGACTCCCTCTTGGTTTTGTAATATATGATCTACTTATGTTTCCATGTTTCAGAGGTCATGACTCCAAATAGTGCATTACCAGCAACAAAATAACCAGCAGGCAACTAGCAACCTGTTCTCTTTGGACAAAAACGACACGTGTGGAGCAACGCTGCCATCTACAGGCAACAAAGCAGTAGAGATACAGACTGAGTGAACTACCTTACCCCTGCTTCAATGATTTATTTGAAATCTCTAATTTAGTGAGATGAAAAGTGAAAAAAATGGTTTAAACAAACAATGGATTCTATGATTGGGAGCACAACGACTTTTATAGCCAAAAGCCCAAGAGTTCACATCCTAAAGGGAAGATTACGCTCTGTGTTATAGCCCAGTGATGTGCAGCTCTCAGCTCTTAAAGCACTGAAATATGCATCAGGCGTCTCCTGATCACAGCCTCTATGTCACTGCCTGATACATACTCGTTCATCTTTCTGACCCTCATTCGTTAAAATCACTCCATCATCCAGTGGCTGCTGGTTTGTGGGGTGCATGGACAGCTGAAATAGAGATCTCTCCATTCCACTCTCTCTTTCTCTGATATTGATCTGCCTCATCCTCCCACCTGTGCTTACAGAGTTTACTACCAGCCTCTCTTCACTTTAACACCTCCTGCTCACGCCATTCATCAAATACAGATATCTGTATGTGTCACAGAGACAGAGACAGAGAGAGAGAGAGAGAGAGAGAGAGAGAGAGAGAGAGAGAGAGAGAGAGAGAGAGAGGAGAAAAAGAAAGAAAAGAGAGACGTGTGCATGCTAGTAAAGAGAGACAACCAGAATATGAGAGCGGGAGAGAAAAAGAGAGGGCATTGTGTGAAAAAACTGTGTGCAAGAGAGAAAGAGAGAATGAGCATGTGAAGTGATGGAGAGAAAAAGAGAAAGAGAAAACTGAGGGTGAAGTGAGACTGAAAAAGGTGTGAATGTGTAAGAGAAAGAAACAGAAAGAAACAAAGAAATAAAAAAGTGTGTGTAGTGAAAAGGACAAAAAAAAAAAAGAGAAAAAAGGAGAGTGGAGTGAGAGACAGAGAGAGTGTGACGTTAATATTAATGCTATGTTTATATTAAGGGTTCACGTTACTCATGTTAGACCATTAGAGTGAACAGTGAAGTATTAAAACGGGATGAGACTCAATACGTTAAGCGCCTTGTTTTGATACCTGAAAATTCAAATATCACAGGTTCTGTCCATCACTACCATCACTCTCTCTCTCTAAAGTTACTCCCACTCAGTCAATTTCCTTTCTCTTTCCCTCTGTCTAACTGTTCTCTTCTAGTGGCCCCTCCCTCTTTTCCTCTCCCTTCTCCTTCCCTTAGTGCACGGATCTCTAATGTACTGCGACTGAGTAAATTTGGCCAGTGCTGTGCCTACGTACTTAATGCAGCTCAGAAAATGGCCGTGGTGGTGGAGTGTGAAATCTCTTCAGCTCTATTCAAGAGTGACGGAACTTTTCATGAGAGCCCAGAGACCAGACCTCACACTCACACACATACACTCACCAATTATTACAAAGAGAGAGCGAGAGAGAGCGAGAGAGAGAGCGAGAGCAAGAGAGAGCAAGAGAGAGCGAGCGAGAGCGAGAGAGAGAGCGAGCGAGAGACACTGAAATACCAGAACAATAAAACTTCAATATATTTCATTTACATGACATCTACAACGTTTCTGATAAATCTGTGCATAATTTCCCAAAACGTAACTGTGTTGAATTTATAAAGAGGGATGTGGACGTCTCTCATCTCTCTGTGATTTCAGGATACTTCCATTCTACTGTGTGGAGACTGTATTTTAGCTCTCACTGCAAGTTGTTTACAACACAAACTGGTGCTGTATTATAGCAGCCAAGATGATTAAAATAATACAAGTGTGAATTCTGTGACTTATACACAACTCAGTAATCAAAAAACAGTTACATTTACAAAAACATCAGGGTACAAATCGAGAAATATCTACGTACCTACCGCCAAAATTCGCAAATGACACTGCTATGGGAGCACAAGAAGACTGAAAGCATGTTCTAGTTGAACCTGTTTAATTACATAAAACATCCATGCTACAATTTTACCCAGTTACAAAGAGTTACTTTGTGCCCCACTCTCCCCCACCTCTCCTTAGTTCATTACACAGCTCATCAATACACTTCTTAAAAGTGTTGCAGCTACACGGACCAATGCTTCCAATCATTACATACACTCGATTGACCCAAAAGCTAACAGAAGAGAAAACATCTTCCCCAGCAAAGAAATTTCATTTCTACCTAAAGCAACATCTAATCGAGCTATGTAACAGGAACTTACTGTCTTCCAACAAGTATGAGTGTTAAATGTGTAAAAGACCGCCATATTTAACGTGCTGTGTTTTATTAGGGCTGAATGATTAATAGCTTTTACATTGAAATTGCAATCTGAAAGAGCAGCAATCAAAAAGCAAGAGCTACAGTTGTATTATATGACATTATTCATTGGTGTCATTGGTGGCAAAAAAAAAATCAAAGGCTGGAACCTAAATCATAGAACAATCAGAATTAAATTTGACCCTAATTGCTCCTATGTATTGTCTTGAGAGGGGTGCAACTGGTTATGGGTTTTAGACTTACTGAGGCAAGAGCGTTTCGCTGCAGCACTGGCTCCCCCGCTGCACAGATTCCCACCACGATGAACCAACTCCAATTCCAAATTCGTCCTGACAAAGAGCAAACGAAAAAGAGAAAATAAGAGAGAGAGAGAGAGAGAGAGGGAGAGAGAGAGATTGCATTTGTCAGCATTTAGGCAACAAGAACTTAATCACAGTCTACTCTGCATTAGTTTATATTAAATACATATAAGTCAATACAAAAAGCACATAAATGCTCAGCTATCTACATGTATTTAATATTCCAAACAGAATTATACATAGTTTAATAATTCATGATATCACATCTGATATCCGCCCCTCCAGCCTACATCCTATCCTAAACAACATATTGTGCTTTATGCCCACTGATGTAATTAGTCAGTGTAAGAGGCCACACTCATCAACATTAGCAGGTCAGTCCTAAAAGACTAGCAAATCTCAGGGGACAAATCTCAGGGACAAATCCCCAGCTTTCCCAGATGAGAAGAGGTGGAGAGAAACAGTTGGGGGGGGTAGAGAAAAAAGAAAGAAGAAGCAATTTCCCATAGATAATGCAGGCGGGCAGCTCCATCTGGCTGCCACTGATAAGGGAGCAAGCATTTGACGGAGGAATCTTCCACCGTGCTGTGCAGCCAACGAGAAAAAGACGACGCAAACTGGAGACTGAAGCAGAGCGAGTGAGTAAGGGAAGGAGAGAGTAGGGGAGAGGCTTGAGCAAACCAGTTAATAGCCTCCATATTATTGAGGGAGAAAGGGGAGGGACTTCTGTAACAATTCTGCTTGCGACAGGTCAGATTTTAGCATGAAGGTGCTGATGAATAAATAAATATGTAAAGCAATAGAATGAAAGTCACTGAAAGCTAGTGTGTAAAAAGGGACAATGATGAGAAAAAAGTAAAAAATAAAACATCGCAAAAGAGAAAGCTGATTGTAATTGTGATTGTAAGTGAATTTTACCCAAACAAGCACACAATAGACTAGGGCTACTCAGATATGAGCAAGGAGCCAAGCTAAAAGGATGCATAAAAGGATGCCAGACAAATCAATTTACTAAAAAAAGGGCAGAAAGCCTTGAGTGGCAGGATTCTGGGGGTGGGGGTGCTTTTGAGATAACTGCACTCTGGTAGCAGCAATTGCAAAAACCAATAAAACCAATTCTGTGGACAGGTCAGAGCATTCAACCAAAAAAATACTGTTTAACGTACAGCAACTCCGCTGCTTGTACTCCAAATCCATGCTGGTAGATGCACTCACCTGGCTACCGAGTACATAAAGAGGAAATCGTTATCAGGTGAGCCCGGGTTCTTGCCGTAGTCCATGTACTTCTTCTGTGTGGCATTCTTTATGTCTTTAATCACAGACTCCATCTCTTTAGTGAGGTTAGATTCCGTCTGGGAGGCAGACATAACCAAATCAATATTCAACAAACAAATATCCAAATAACCAAACCAATAGCAAAGAGGGATTTAAATGAGTGAGTAGGTTACTACAATATTATTAAGTAGTTGTGAAATCAACTGAATCTTCCTTCAGACATGTTGACACATTTTAAATGTTAGACATCACAGAAAAGGAGATGAAGAGGTTACATAAGGGACAGTATCCATACACCCACAAATTCATTTTATTCCATCTCTACCAGCAGAGCAATGAAAAACTCACACTCGGCGATGAAGGAATGGGGGAGGTAGACACAGACTAATGAACGCTTAGTGGTAGAGGTATCTGCCTTACATAGGTGCTTACTGGGAAAATGCCCAGCTCCTCTTGCAGGTCCCCGACTTCCTTGACAAGTGTGGCCGGACTCTTGTTGCTAGGGGTGTGCCAGGCACCTGCCTCTGTGCCACGCCCAGGCTTGCAAGGCAGAACGCTGTTAGCAAACTGGCGACACAGAGGGCAGGTGAACTCACCCTTATCCACCGAGAAACCCTGCAGCACCTGGTCATTCTGACCCAGAGAAAGACAAGATGAGTTGAGAACACTAAACACTTGTAGAAGAGTCTAAGGCAGGCATTCTGAGGAAACATTTCAGGCTATGTTCAAAGACACAAGCCAACTACACTAATATATATATATATATATATATATATATATATATATATATATATATATATATATATATATATATATATATATATATATATATATAAACTTGTAAAAGGCTTGCAAAGGTTATCTGTCCCTTAAGGAAACTCATCTATTACAGCTGATTTTACTCTCACGCAGCTAAACACTGGTCACTCTGGAGACCCATACGGAGTGCCTTTATCAATCACATTCTCTTTCCTGGTGTCAGTCTTCACTCTGTCTGCTCACATTAAACATTATTAAAGTAGAGAGCGATGTCGTATTGTCCCCATTATCATAAGCGTCACCCGAGTGAGTGATGGAGAGAGCACCTATGAAATATCAATTTGAGATGTGTCACTTTGATGGATGAACTACTAATGACGTGTCAGATCTTTGAAAAAGGCTAGCATCTTTATATATATATATATATATATTCACTCTGTCTCTCTAACAGAGTAAAAGGTTGCAAAAAGTAATTGGACAATTTTTTGTTGTGAATTTGTAATCCACCGTGTTGTTTTGCAAAGAAATAACGGCTGTGATTCAAGTGTAGAATGTCAGCTTTAGTATTTCCATCTATGCTGCATGAAACATACAGGAATCAAAATCCCTTTTATATAAAGTCTCTAATGCTCTTTACTATATCAAACAACTGATAGTGACCTAATTACAGTAGGACAGTTAAGACAGTTGGGACAGTATAAGAAATGCAGATAAAAACATAAAACAGTAATTAGTAAGTATACTTTGACCCGTATTTGAAACAGTTTTACCTTATTAACTTCTTTGTTCTTTTGTAAATATACACTAATTGTGAAACTGATGTCTGCAACATGATCCAAAGTTGGGACATGGGCAATTTATGACTAGGAACATGTCTTAATGATGAAGAAAAAACAAAACAAAAAAACACACACACACACACACACACACACACACACACACACACACACACACACACACACACACACACACACACACACACACACCTCTTAAAGAGCTTATGCAATAAGGCATGGATGCTCCTCGAGTTCTTTCTGAGAAGAGAGGGTCAAGGGTCGCTACGCTGCCAAAAATGCATCGGCAAAAATTTCAACAGTTTAAAAATAATGTTCTTCAGCCAAGGATTGCAAGGATTTTAGGTATTTCACCCTCTATTGTGCATATCATCAAAAGATTCAGTGAAATCACAATAAATGCCTGCCATCTACGAAACCTCAGATAGCACAACATTAAAAACTGGCATGTTTCTGTGATTGATATCACCACATGGGCTCCAGAATACTTCGACACATCACTATCAACAAGCAACATTTGTTTCTGCATCCACAAATGCAAGTTAAGACAAAGCAACCATTGCCACATGTCAACAAAGTCCGGAAACACTGCAGACTTCTGTGGGCTTGAGCTCTTCTGAAATGGGCTGATGTACAGTGGAAACCTACACTGTAGTCTGAGAGACTATGCTTATTTTAACATGACCATGCCAAACCCCATTCTACAGGTGTTGCATAGCAGCGTAATCAGAGTGAAGGTGCTAGACATGCCTGCCTGCAATCCAGTCTTGACTCCCACTGAAAACGTGTGTAAAACACAACACAGAAAGACCCATATGGTTGCACAGTTGAAGACCCCAAAAAAGTGCTGTTAAAAGGAAAGGTGACATAACACAGTGGCAAACATGGTCCTCTCCCAACATTTTTGGGACGTGTTGCAGGCATCACATTTGTAATGAGGTATATTTACAAAAAACAACAAAGTTTATCAGGTACAACATAAAATAGTGTTTTTTATACTGTTTTCAATTTAAAATGTTTCAAAAAGAATTTATTAATCATTGCTTTTTCTGTTTCTATCAGCATTTCTCATACTTCTCATCACAACTTTTTTGGAATCTGTATGTGGGGTTTTGGGGTTTGTATGTGGTTCTAGGCCTGGTTGATTTATTCTGATTTTGTCAGATTCATAATGGCCTGCTTTATTGCCACTTAGACTTCTTTGGTTCTCATATTGAGAGACAACAGCAACAGAATCCAGAATCCCAGAATCCAGATTATTTTTTATCATGATGACTTCTGTATGATTTACCCAGTATAGGTAAAAAGAAAGTCAAATGAAAGCTGACATTCTGCATTTTAACCTCAGTCACTCTTTCATTTCAAATTCAATGCGTTGCAGAACAGAGCAAAAACAATACACACAGCACTGCATACTAACATGCATTTTTTGTGTTTACTAGGCAGTAGGCACTAACAGATAAGCCTAGCTTTTGAAGAAGCTCTAATCTGATGTTTGGTATTCAAATGTTAAACAAGCACTACACAATCTATGTTTGGGTAAAAACTCTTGATGAAAAAAAAAACAATCATCACCTAATCACTGCTCCTAAGACTGCAACAGCCTATTCCAATGCCAAATACCCTCAGGGCAGTTTTAGAAAATGATGAATTGAAGTCTAAAGTGTTACTGACAGGGACAGTATGCAATGGTGAATACTGAGTGTAGTCAATGGCAGGCAGGCCAGACTCCACTGTTGTGTAGTCCTGAGTACATCAGCACAGATCATAGGCCAAAAAAAGCACTCCACGACAATCCAGCTGGGCAATTTAAATCCATTTAGTCAATTAAGTGATGAGAAGTCATGTTCTTGTACTGTATTACACATAATTTCTACTACTGACGACTCCCTGCAGAGCCCAGGGAAACAGTCTGGTACTGATATTACGTCCAAAGCAGATATTGCTATAAATTCACTTACCCGTAAAGATTCCATGTAGGACTTGTGACAGTCTATATGCAGTGTGTGACCACATGTTTGCACATACACACCACCATCCCAGCCAATGGAGACAGACTGCAGACAGGAACTCTGGGAAAAGTGAGGAGAAAAAAAAAAGAAAAAAAAAAAGCAGAAACTTCTTACCACAGAGGGATCAAATGAAGTATATAATAAAAATTAAACAAGCAATGCCGCTTCCTCTATCTCACAATTGAGTGCAGGGATATTGTTTTATAATGCTGAATGCCCTAATAAACTGAAAATGGAAACCATAACATTAATACAAGGCAGGTTTTCAGGCACTTCTTATTTTTACTGTATTGAAAGATGGAAAAATGTATGAAATTGAGACACTAGCACATCATATTGAACAAATTATGAATTTTTTGTTAATTGTTACATGTCTATACATTTTCAGGTTTGCATTGAAAGGACAGTTATTGTTTTGTAATGAGTTTCCAAGAAACAAAAACAAGACAAATCACTTACATAAGTTTCAACGAAAGCTTAGAAAATCATTATTAAAATTAAGTTCAAAGGCAGAATGTACAGAACACAACTTGCACTGAACATGAACATAGGCAAGAAGGGATAAACTGAAAAAAAATGCTTTGATCACAGTGGGAAATATCAAATAAAAACTGAAACAACTGGAGAATTCTGACCAGAGATGCATCAGAATGATGAATAAAAACGAGAGGGGAGAGACATTTATTCTGTTTCTCTGCAGGAGCTGGAGGCTGCCGAGCTGAACCATGCTCAGAGGATTCAGCTCAGCAGGCCAGATGAGTTTAAAATGTAGAGCAGGGCACAGACGACAGGAGACCAGCATGTGAAACACTGCTCTTATTGCAAAAGACAGCATGCGAGAGACAGAATCACACAGAAAGAAAGAGAGAGCTAGAGAGACAGAAATAGAGAGGGAGAAAAAAAAAGCACAGAAACAGAACAGAACATAGCAGTAGCTTAATTGTACCCATGTTGCATTCTGTCCAGCTCATACATGTGCGAAAATATCTGTGAATGCTATTAGATTTATACTGAAGATAGTTTTGGAGTCGGGAAACGGGGCTTGTGTTTAAATATGTACCTAAAAATAATTTCACTGTTTAACACACTTCAGCTATGCAATACGGTACAACAAGGAATCATTTTTATATCAAAATCGGAAGGTAAAATAAGACAATTTTCCAGTCGCAAGAGCTCCCGTTTTAATTTGATTTTTTTTTTTTGCATAATTAAATCGTTAAGATGTAAACAAAGTCATCCAGAATGGTTAGATGTGAGAGACACCATTCTATAGAACCTTACAGAGTCAAAATTTTTCACAAAGGTGGTGATACGACCCAATTGTGTGAAGGAAGTTATTACACGAAATGATTCTAAATGCACTATTTGATGCCTGAGACATTGTTTCGCAATAGTGTTGTGATAAGGCTTGGGCCTAAAATTCAGTTCAATATTCCCTAAAGAAAATTTATATTTCTGATTTAGCACTATTTTACCATAATCAACATTACATAAATACTCACAATACTACTTTTGGATACTAAACAAAATGGTCATTTTAGTGTTGTGGACATTGCAACCCCTGGTTCTTATCAGCACAATGAACCACTTCACATTAAACCACTCTGTATTACTTTGTTTATATATCAGTAATAGAAATATGCCATAATTTTGAAGAATTGGTGGAATTCCCCTTTAACAAGTTTTAGGTAAATTTAAACTAATACTGCAGAACTGGCAGTCTAGCACACTACATGTACTGTACCAAATGTGATGTTCTTGCTGCAAAACAAAGGGCTTGGACTTTCTTTATATAAATGTACATAAAATAGCCACATTTAAAATGCAACTGCAATACTGGTCAGAAAAATTGCAATTAAATATTCTCCCTAAATCTTTCAGCCCTTCTATGATTGTGAAAGGCACTTCTGAGTCAGACACATACATCTTTGAAGTACCGCTGCATGAGCGCTAGTCTAACGTCGTTAGTCGCTCCGCACGTGTCCTCAGGGAAAATCTGCTCCTCGTCGCTTGTAGGGAGCCGCTTTGCCTCGTCACTACGGCAACGGTGCCCCAACACTGAAACACACACACACACACACACACACACACACACACACACACACACACACACACACACCTCATGTATACTAATTAACTTCCATCATTTCTATTTATGGGACGCTGCATATCATTTGCATACTATAATGAAGTACCATATCAATGTCAAAACCATAACACCCATCAAGCTGCGTGAACAGCAGGAATGTTTTCACAGATGTTTTTCCTTCTAGATCACAATGTAAACTCATAACTGATAAATTAACAGGTGGGGGAGGAAATAATGTGGTTGATGATGTCACCACAATATTTATTATCAGAACAGGCTGATGGGGGCATGTTTTTCTGCTTTGATGGTTCATCAGATTGGACAAAGTAGAGATCAGGACACACTCTTCTGACCTTGAGGCTCTGATACTTTAGGCTATAATACGTCACCCCAGCGGGATAATTACTAATAAAACAAGCTATTTGTTTTCATGACACTGAAAGAGACTCTTATGTCCATAGCAGCATGGCAGAAATTACTCTACAGAAGCAGACGTCTGTTCAAGGATCAACACGTATGATGAATGAAGCAATTAAAACGGCAGCTAAGCGCCGTCATTAAAAGAAGCAGCGCAATGCGGCCGGGCTCAGGTGCTGCGAATAAATAGGGCCATTTAATAGACAATATAACACCACTGTCCTGTGCAGCAAAGAGATGTGCTGCAGCAGTAAGAGATTATAGGCTGGCTATAAAATGCTCCACCTGTTGATGGAAACCTGTAATACCACAAGGTTCAGATATAGGCTCAGCCATAAAATGCAAAGAGATGAACCAGAAGGCCTACATCTGACGTCAGAATATGAGGCTATTAAGAATAACAAATTATTTATATGATCAGAGTTAACCATTTTATCCTTTTAAAGTTAGGTCAACAACTAACAACAAGGATGTTGTGTGCACGTTTGTTCACCTGAAGACGCCTGTAGTAGCACCACCAGTCCTGTAGGTCTGTCTTCAGTAGAGGGGCCGCTCTGGCCACATATGACACAATCATACAGAACTTCAGAGTCCAGAGGCTCAGCAGAGCCCACGTCCATTGCTGCCTCAGCCTCAGGAGACTCTGCAAGCACACCGAGAAAACAATGCACAAACAGATGCCTGGATCACCACTTCATTTCAGATTACAAAGTTAAAGAGGATGATGAGAATCCATACGCTTACTGTGCAAATGAAAAACTACTAAAAATAACTAACAAACACAATGGTTTTCATATGGAGTAAACTGAAATCAGCCATGAAAACACCAGCTACATCAGTGCTTTTGTGGCTCTTAAAAAGAACAACACCCCCACTAAGGTTAAAGTTAAGGTAATAAAACAATGGGGAAAGTAACACTGATTTTTCTTTTATTAGATTCTAAAATACCACAGTGATAAAAAATGAGCATGGGTGGCTCTGTGGCACTGCTGAAATGGTGTGTAAAATACCAAGCTGCCACCAGTGTCCATAAAGGATTTGGGAGCACTCCAGCTATCAGAAATACAAGCTTCTGTTCATTTAGATCAATTGTGACTCGCCAAGAGCGAACAAACAGCAAGAAATACAAGCGTGAGAGAGGACAGGGGCTAAAATCAAATAATTGAACAGGAGTTATGAGAGAGGGATACTGGCAAAACTTAATTAGCTATAAAACATGCATCTAAATTGCTTTTCTGCCCTCTCTTGGTTAAATTAACAGATTGTGGAGGTTTGGGCAACCATGCGTACATTAGGGGTAATGTAGTGTGAAAGGCTGTTATTCGGACAGAACGTGAGGTTACCTAATGTACTATGATTTGAGAAGGTCAGTTATAGATAGGAGCATCAGATATAATTAACGCATTCTTGCCTCTTCTCCAAATGAACAGTGCAACACATAACAAGTTGCAAACAATTATAAAGGGGTCGTGAACTCAGGCATTCTGAAAAACTCTTAGAGGAAAGAGTTTGTGCAACAATGTGCAGGGTTGAACACCAGAGATAAGAACACTGTTAGAGGAAAAAAAACTCCAAAATACGCAGCACAGAGGCACTTCAGGACTGAGAACCACTGGTGGCAGATTTTCTTGCAAGACCAAAATTCAGAAGCAAAACCAACACATTCATAAGGTACTTTCCAAAAGCTAGGCTGTGCTGAAAAAGCTTGGTCCTTGGTACTACTGGACTATACTGGACAGCATAGCATGATGGATACTCCTCGAAATTTATCAGAACGTAGGCTGCTTTTCTCTTCTTAGAACAGCCTTCATTGACGCAGCAGTCTAGGAATACAGCCCTCCTGGACCACAGCCAAGCTTTTGGGAGGCAGGTACTGTCCTTAGCTCTAAGAGCTGTACAGTATCTCATCATCTTATTAGCCTCATATGGTAACTCACCTCTTGCAAAACAAGCAGTTAAAAAGAGCTTCTCAGAAATCAACACACATCACAAATTCCAGCATACATTGTGATGCTTCCTTTGAGCATACTGCGAACCCCATTGAACTACACAGGGGTTAAAACCTTGGTTTCATTTCTGTGAATACTATTCAAACAGTCTATGAATACTTAACAACCAGCACTTTCCACAATTCCAATGACTGACACACCTCAGAAGATTAATTACATTTGCAAAATTAGTTCTAAATGTTAGTGTGTGTTCAATTCTGAGTAAATACAGCCCAGCAAATGTCAGTGTGTTTGGACTGATTTATTGCTTAAGGGAGAGAGAGAGTGAAAAAATAGTTTGTCTGGAAGTCAATGTGACCATGTTGGCTTGGGGCAATCTCCCATAGCACACAGACACACACGCTCACACAAGCTTAATGGTGTGCATGTTGCGTAGATTGGGACAAATGTCAAATGTGCACTGTGATCACAGAGGACATCCAACACCATTCTAATTCAGAAAGAAAGACCAAGCACTCTAGAACTACACTCTAAAACTTGCTCTGTTTTATTCTAGAAAATTTAACCTTTGTTCATCTCCCTTCAATCTTTTAGAACTGTAGATTACAACAAACCATGTTATAAAACACATTCAAATATTAATAATTAAATAATACATTAGTACTTTGATACATGCATCTAACCCTTAAAGATCAACATATCAAGATACTGCACTATACAGTTTCTTTCTCCCACTCTTTATATTTAGTGTTCAGTCATTTAAGTCAGTTTCGGAAAAAGAAATCCGTTAAACATCAGAAAGCTTTTTTGTAGCAAAACATCTGACCTAAATAAATAAATAACTTAATAAATACATAGTATATACATTGACAAACAAGGTTTCAAATGTCTGAACACAAAAGGCATCTGAAGCATTTGCATTAAAAATTTTCTCTTGGATGTAGTATCCCATGATAAAAAAAAGAGTGTCATTGTTGCACAGAAAGCACCTAAAAATTACTTATTTGCACAGACACGTGTTTGACTAATCTGCCTTGTTAAAATTCCAGTACAAATATTGACATTCTTGATGACCTTTGATTTCAATCTGGAGGAGAAAAATGCAGCTCAAGAACAACACAAGGGATCATTTTTTATTCTGATAAGCTGCAAAACACACCCGCACACACTGCAGGTCAATGTCAGAAGGGACATCAGTGATCGGAAGCTGAAGGCAATATTTCAAACCAAATCTCCATGTCAGCTGAACATCTGCCATTTCCCTTACTGATGAAAAAAGAATGAGGCTAAACTGCACGATGAGAATACAAAATTACCCATTCATAAACTGAAAAATAAACATACATATATATGGTCACAGTATTCTCTTTATAGACACTTTACTGCAGGTCTGTATGGTTTAAAGGGGGTTGGAAGTCAACTACATCTACTGTACATGCCCTAGTAACCCGACCAGACCAGCTAGTGCAGTAGGTTTCACACTTAATTTGAACTCAACAGGCAATTTTTAAGCTCATGAGTTTAGTCAGTTGTCTTAGGTCCGGTCAACACTGGGGGATTTATAAAATCTTAATCAATTTTAGTCCTTTAGCCATCAAAGCCCTCACACTACAAATTTTGACCAGGACAAATATATATATATTTTTTTAAAAAAAGCATGCAAAAATAATGTGAGTTTAGATCAGAGAAAGGGCAAAGGAAAATATTTAATTTGATTTTACAATGTTGATAACGATACAATAATTTCCCATTTTTATGCTTGAGATTTTTTCCCTGTCAATGCACACACACACACACACACACACACACACACACACACACACACACACACACACACACACAGATGACTTCCATGCAGCTTGACGGGTTGTCCTTCATCATCAAGACTGTGTTTCACTGGAAACTGTGGGTGTTCCCCCACACTACAGGTTGCTGAGTAAATATTGAACGTTATATCAGAGCGAATTGGATCTACTCACAATCCAATCACGATTGGATTGTGAGTAGATCAGAGGAGTTAAGATTCCAGCCTGGAATCAGGGCACCTTTTGCAATCCCTGGAAAGGGTAAATTGGCCTCATAATTGGAAATGTGGGTTAGCTTCAGAGAACGAAAATGTGCAGTACTTATCGTTCCCAGGGCTGGCATTGAGAACCACTGGGCTAGTACATCATGAGGAGAGACTGATGAACCCAGCAATCCATCCCACCCTGTGGGTAAATGGCCAATTACACTTACAACCCCCCCCTATCCATGAGTTAATTTGAATGCAAAATTAAGAAATACTAATGCAAATTTGCATATTATAATGTAAATGGCAGTTAGCCATGCGTGGCATGACCTGACCTCTGTTGCCCTTATACGCTGGGTGTTCTCTATACAGTAACACTGAGTTATCTTGAACGCTTCCAAGTAATGAAGAACAACATTATTCATCCCTTAACAACTGCGTATAGGCATAGTCCCTCTGTATCCACAGTGCTTTTACCTCTCTGATCTGCTGTGCCTTCAACCGATGCACTGTCTCTCCTGAGGCATACACACACACACACACACACACACACACACAAGGCCTGGGGAGGCCACTGCGTGTCACCTTTCTACAGAATTCCCCTCCTCCTCCCCAGCTGAATCCTTCAAGGACTTCCTACAAGTTTGTGTCCTTGAAACACTGAGAGTGTGAGAAATGAGTTACATGCCCACAAGCCATAAAGACAGGAGCTGTACCCAGTACAGAAGAGAGTAAAACACTTTATCCAGTTTCAACAGACAAATTCATCAGTACAAGACCTTTCCTTAGAGCACAGTTTTACTTCAGTCTGCAAACCAGTCTGCTTAGAATACCATCACTAACTTCAGTTATACTCCAAATTAGACGGTACTTCACGTCAGCAGGTAGGACAATTAAAAGCTGGTTCTAAGTCAAATTAACTCAATTACATATTCAAAACCAGGCTAATATATTCTACCTGTCATCAATATGACACTAAAAGGGTAATCAAACCACTCTGTAAAAATTTGCAGCAACTGCCTTCACTACAAGTCAACATTTTAACTTTGATGGACTCCCAAATGTTCTGTGTAATTCCAATAGCAATACTAGAATAATTACTATGCTTACCAACATCCATGGCTGTCTCCATGAAGCTTTTCTGCCTGGAGGCAAATTCAGCCAGCAGTTTCTGCTGTCTCTCTCTGGCCCTTTGCCGCCTGAGACAGTGGAGAGAAGAGAGAAGATGAGAGCAGTCAAGACAAACATCAGTCAACCCAACACATACCCAAAAAACTCCAATTACAACATATTTCTGAGATGACAATGGTAGATAGCAATTACATCTGTTTTGGAAGACTGTCTTCAGGTTAACTTCTTCTGGTTTGCCCTTCTGAGAATCATCAAATAATGCTTTATGAGGCATACAAACAAATTTACTATACAATCAAACTCACTGATGATGGATGCTTATAGCCTCCTTCTCATGTGAACACCTGGCAGCTCTGTTCATATCCAACTCCTGTAATTTCTGGTTTTGGCTATGTCCCTCTCCAGTGTAATACAGGTAGGCAGTAAAATAGAGAGGCTTAATAAGAGGACATAAACTAATGCAGACAGGAACGATACGCTTCAGTTACCTGCACTGACACCGTCAGGGACAAACACAGACCACTGGGACACGACACTGAACAATATCCAGCAGCCATAAACACCATGTCTAAGTATTGTTGCTATGGTGACTGCCAACCACATTATGTGTATGCGTGTTTTTCCTTGACTTGTTATGGGGCAGACACCACCTGCAAGTTGAAATGAAAGGCCTGTTCCATCATGTTTAAAAAGAGAGGACAAGTGGAAGAGTCCAACCAAATGTAGCTGATGAAGGTATAATTCAAATCAAAATCAATCTATCAACAATATGGTTGAGAATATGGTTGGGCTTTCCTCGCAAAACATCAATCTAAGTACTTCTGAAGATGGGATTACATTAAAGTTCGTAGACTAACAGACCAAGAAGTTGCTAGACTAAAGACTAATAACAATAGGCCTTAGTGATATATAGGCAAACGTAAAGCAAGCTTTAGGCATTGTCCATAAAAACCTGGGGCAGGTTTTCTCAGTTTAGCCAGTTAACTGAAGCCCAAAGTCAAGCCTGTCCTATTGGACAGTCCTCATCTTTGGGCTTAACATATATGGCTAACTGAGAAATCCTGCTTTGTAAAATACCCCTTGGTGTTGTTGCTTAGCTTAGCAATCTTTGTTGGCGTGCACCACAACAAACTGCTTAGCAGAAATTGCATAAACTTCAATGCTTAGGTAGCACAAACATGCTCAACATAGCCAATATCCTATCGTCTTGGAGTTTCAGTGCAGATGAAACATTTTGAAAATTATGTATCGATGCTGGACAGAAACTCTTGACACAAAAACAGCCTACACGTTTCTGGACAGAAATACATGCAAGTTTAGTTTCTCCAGCTTAAGCAAGATTCTCTGGCATTGCTACTTGCTCTACTGAGGGACAGGGGCATGACTGCACAAGTCTAGTTGACACACACAAACAGACATACCTTTCCTCTTTATCCATGCTCTTCTTGTCTCCTGGACTGTTCTTTTTGGCAGTCACAGGAGGGCACACTCTTCCACAGATCTCCTGCAGGCACCTCTTGCTGTGTCTGCTCCGAGACGCTGCTTTAGCCAGGATTCTTTCAATGGCAGTGATACCATCTCCATGCGCATGGTGTGCTGGGTCAGCCTCCTCCAACCAGCTTGGTGAAAGGGAGTTCTGCTTGGCAGAAAGTTTCTGATGCAGTTTGACCAGTAGGGACAGCATGCTCTCCCTGATCTCCAGGATCTCTGTGACCAGTTGCGGAGGAGAGCCAGGAGGATGCCAGCGGGAAGAGGACTTGGGCCGTACAGCCTGGCTGGCTTCATGACTACTGCGGTTAATAATCTCCTGGAACTTTCTCCTGCGTTCTGCCACAAGGCTGAACAGCTGAGCCTCACGCAAGTTCTGAGGGAGAGCAAGAAAGAGAAACAACTAAATGAGCAAGTGACTGCGTGATTTCAGACAAATTTACAGTGAGGGGAAAGGAAAAAAAAAAGCAGTACAATATTTAACAAAACAGTACTAGAGCTAAAGAGGACAAATATAACTGCCATAAATAGATAGAAACCTGGGAACTTTATAGTAGTTACTGTAACAGTGATGTATAGCATCTGTGATCTTTATCACAGTTCAATTAAGAACAGCACTTAAGACTACTAACTCAGTCACCTCTTGTCATAGAATAAAAAAGGATTAGACATGCCTCTCTGTTCATGTGAGCTTGTATCACATGCAGTTTTTTCCCCCTCAATCATTATATAGCATAGTAAAATTTCATTAAAAATGCTTAAATAAATAAATAAATAAATAAATAAATAAATCAGAAAACATGACGTTACTGCAGAATCTGATTGATTTGTTATAAAGAGAAAGAATACTGACCGCTGAAACAGCTGTTTAAATAAACAAGTCATAACTGCCTCAGAAACACATCCATCAATCTAACATGCAGTTTAAAAAAACCTATTCGTCCAACATTAAATACTTAATTAGTCTGTCACACTGCAAAGGCATCGCCATGAGTGCCTCAAAACACAAAGGAATCACGCAGGCACTGTCAACCTTTGAGATTTACATAAATACACAACACACGCAGACACTCCAAAAACTAGTATAGAAGTCACATTTTACATCACAAGTGCTCCAGCTCTTGCATATCTTTGGAAACAATGTAATAAACTACATGCATGTTTATTACACTATTTAGTTTCTTTAAAATACATAGATCACCGTAAATGTTCATAAAAAAAAGGAAGAAAAGACACCATAGCACTTGTTCTGTGTAAAATGTGAAAGGAACATCTCGACAACACATCACAGAATGCTCAGTTTCTGCATCCAGGGGGATCAATTTAAGACTGCACTAATTTCATTCCCAAACAAAGGTGGTTCAGGTTCAGTCACTCTACAACACTTCCAACAGGCCAAATCATTCTCAAATCCCAGACCAATCATTTCCAAGGCCAACTACCTCTCTCCAATTCCCTGTCAGTCTCCTGGAGCTCTGTGGAGTGAAAGTGGGCAATACCACAAAAATACTTATATAAAAAAAAATAGAGATATTACTACTTATACAGTAAATACAGTCCTTTCAAGCTAATGGTTCTGCAGGACAACATAACATTGTACCACAGCAGAAACCTTAAGTAAATTCAGCTGAAACTGAAGGAATACTCCAGTGTTTTTCAACCTTTCAATCTCTATCTGCCTATATATATATATATATATATATATATATATATATATATATATATATATATATATATATATATATATATATACACACACACACATATATATACACACACACACACACACACACACACACACACACACACACACACACATATATATATATATATATATATATATATATATATATATATTTCTTCATTCATTCAATCCAAAAGTGGTATCTATTCAATATTACTTAGCTTAGGGAAACACGATAACTGTCAGAGGTAACTGATCATATATAGCTGATAAATAAAAGCTGAAGTGTTCCTTTAAGCATTACAGCTACTTTGTGTAACAGCACTGATGTTGCCTAACTCACCTGTCCAAAGCTGGATGACTCGGCGCTGGTGCTTGGAGGAGTCTCTCTCTCCCTCTCACGCTCCCTCTTTTTCTCCACCTCTGGTGCTGTCTCAGGCACTCGTACCCGCACAAAGTGAATCACATGGTGTAGGTTCGAAAGCAGGCTGGTGCCGGGGAACCAGCTGTCATGGCAATGCTCCTCAATACAGGGCTCCTACAGAAAAGGAATAGAAACACTTGCTCTGAAGGTGTTGAAAGGAGAACATATACATAACAAAAGCTAAACAGTCAGAAACATTGATTTGTGGCTGGTCCTATCAAATTCTTTCACTGATGATACCCAGAAGCAGTAGTGGGCAGTATAGGCAAACTTTATATCACGGTATTATTAGGATTACTTACTCTTTTAGATATATAACCACAGTATAGTGTATCTATGTATATATTTTTTTTCCAAATAAAACCAATTTTGGATGCTTAAGTAAGACTAACAATGGCAGATTATTCTGGATCTCTTCACTTTTAATAAGAACCATATTTACCAACTGAAGTAAATTGAAAATATTTTTATTGGGCAAAATAGTAAAAAACAGAAATTAACAATACACACAGAGATGTCAAATATCTCTTTCTAATCGCAACGAGATAAAGGTAAGTGTATGTAAAGCCCACAGCGGCTTCTCTGAGCCCAGCAAAAATAGTGCTGAATGCAGTTTTACACCTGAGAGAGTCAACTGTCTCATATGTGCATCACTTACACTCACTCTTTAAGCTATGACTCCCAGACGCTGCTGGAATTTATCAAATAAATATTACAAGCCATTCACACTACGAGTTTTAGCTGAGAAGCTGCGGAGCATCTTGGCTTGTAGGCCGAGACCACATCATCGCCTGAAGCAGCTGGCTGAGTGAGGAGTGCCACAGGTGGTGCACATGGATGGGAAGCCAGCTAGTCTCCATGCTAGGCTAATGGCTAACAGCTAACCTGTGGCTGTAATGGCTCTCCAAAAGACAACCTGTTCTCTGAGCTCAGGGGAGAAGGCCACAGAGAACAGTGCTTTTACAAAACTCAAACTACAGTAGAGGATTCTCTCACCTCATCCTCCTTGTCCTCCTGCATGTGGTTGTCCAAGCCCAGTTCAACCAAATAAAGCACCATACACAGCACATGCTCTGACATGTTCTGATGGTCCATCCAGATCTAAACAACCAGACAAAAACAAGAGGGGGAGAAAAACCCTTTGAAACAAAACTTACGGTAACATTCACAACTATTAACATAAGAAATTAAGATACAAATAAACTGTGCTGAATATATGCAGCCTGAAGGAAAGCAGGAAGCTTAAAAGGTGAGTACCTTGTACAGCAGGGTAAAGATGACAATGTGCAGGGTTTTGCAGTGCAGCAGGCGCACCAGGCCTCTGTAGCATGGGTGCAATGGAGTCCTCTCCTTATAAGGAGGCCAGGGGTTGCCAGTGTGGATACCTGACTGCTTCAAACTAGATACAAACAAGAAACAGCATATGGTCACTGCACAAAGACAATCAAAGAGAATTCAAAGAGAAGGAAAACCATCACTGGGCTAAAAAATAATAATAGTTTAAAAAAAGTAATAAAATACAATGATGATAATTAATATACTGTATGTATGTACGTACAACAGCAGTCAGGTTTCTTAAAGGGTTTCAAAATGTGGTGAAAAAAAACTAGATATTGAAAATGTTTAATGTCTCTAAAAGACACCTCGCAGAAAGTCATTACACAAAATGATTATGTTGCCTGATGCGTTTTGCAGTAAGCTTTTTCACAACAAACCTGTTAAAATTTTAAAATTAACTGCAATACCCCTTTTAGAGAGGCATCTCTAAAATCTTCATATGCAGTGTATACATGGGCCTTAATTTTTCATATGGCTAGGAAAGTAACTCTATATAATAACAAAATTTACAATATCTTAACAGAGCTGTAAAAAGGTTTAAAGCATCCACTGATTTTATTTCAGCAGAAAAAGGGTGCAGGGTATGAAATATTATGTTCTCTTGACAGGCAATCTATCATTCCACAGCACACAGAGGGAGCCTCAGTCTATCATTACAAACCAACAAAAGACATAATACAGCATGTTCCACTAAAAAGCTCCTGTTCTGCTTCTTATGTTTTGTTCCATCTATGCCATCCTTTCTGTTGTCAGAAAAACATCTGTGAAACAATGAATGCAGAGAGCATGCAAATGCTTCTAATATGCACTGTGCTAGAGAAAATAATTTAGCCCTGGAAACTGAAACAAAACAATTAAATAAACAAAAGATTTTTTGTGTGTATCCTTGTATGTGTTGGGGGGCCCATCTTCCTCAATTCACACCACTGCGAGCAAGTATTTCTTTACAGCTAAACTGCCGTGGGAGGAAAAATACATGCTGGCTGCAGGATGTTGTAATGCATTTAGAAAGTTCCCATCATGCTGAGATCTACAGGAAATTAACCTTGCCCTATCTGCTCGACCTAGACCTTCACATTTGTCTTCAGGAGGCTCCAAACTGAGTTCAGTACAGCCAGGCTTTCCCCAGTCTATTAGACTTTAGACTTGATATATTGATTGTTCCTGCAACGGCTCTAATTGGAGGGGCCTGTATCAGTCGGCAACCCTTATGTGCACACCTTTTCAAGGGCAGGGGAGTGGAGTGACCCTGGACTTTTAAAGCCAGAAATACATCCCCCATACTAAGACCTTACATGAAACGCAGGGACCTTCAGACTCAGGGCGAACACATAGTAAGACAACTGGGTGCATTAAAGAAACAATTTATTTTTTATGCCACTGAAAGTCATTTCCTTTTTAAAATGTCTAGGGGCTAGGTTAGTAAAAACTCTTGTTGTAAACCCAAGTTGCTTCACATGATTTTACTGAACTGACCGTAAAAACAGGGACCTTACAAAGGTGATAAGCAAACATCAGTTAACAACTAATAAATGTTATGAGATCAGTAAATGAGTAAACTATTTAGAATTATTTTCAAAGACCAGAAGAGGTGACTCACAATGCTGAGTATCTATCCATTGCTGACTGGACGTCTCGACGGTATACTGTGCGCAAGATCACCATGATTGGGTCGAACTCCTTCTCCCACACCTCCGCTGCAGAAATACATCACATATGAATCCCATGCAACACAAGAACTAGAATATTTTAGTATTAATTACAGAGGTTGCTGGTTACAAAGCGTTCATCATGGTAGTTTGCCCTCATATGAAAAACATACACAACCTGTATAGACTTGAGTGGTAAGAATGGCTATATGGTGTCCCATATAAACACATGCATCAACAGAAAGAAAGAAAGAAAGAAAGAAACGCGCACACACACACACACACACACACACACACACACACACACACACACACACACACACCCCTCACATTCTGAGCTTTAAATAGCCTGTTGCTAACACAAATAACCTTATAATCTAAACCTATTCTGCTACTATTCATCCACATTTTATAACAAGGAAAGTTGAAGGTAATGATTCAAATACACATGAACAGTAAGAGCAGAAGTGGCACCTATGTATAACTGCCATAACTGGACAGCCACACTGGTTTCAGCTATGACACAATACTGCCATCATGTGGTGGAGAAGAGTAAAGTATAGGCTTAAAATCATGACTCGGCACAATTCATAACAATGTTGTTTATATTGATGTCCTCCTTACTATTCTTAAGATAGGTTTCTGTCCATTTACTTGTAATGACATGTAATGTACAGACGGTATATCACTAGTGATGGTTAATTGATTCGGGCCAATATCAAAAAGAACAAACTCGATTTAATCCTGTGAGGCTGAAGTACCACGCTCACATCATGTCATATCATGTTGTTAGCTGTGTATTTATTCCTGGGGTAGTACAATGTTTGCGTAGTTTAGATGAGCATCTAAGTAAAGTGCTTTAATTAAAAATAGCTTGTTTTAAAGCACAGTAGCTTTTGAAAAAAAGGATACTGCATTGTATCAGCTAATACTCAAGGTTTCAAATCCGTATTGGGAAAAAAACTGGAATCATGCTCTCTCTAAATGGCTAACCTACTGCATCATTTGAACCGTGTACTGATATGCTAATACTGAGAAGGTTGTTTATTGGTAGAGAGTTTTCTTTCAGCACACAAAGAATTTATAATAATTACAGTAAGAAATGGCAACTGACCAGTTGCTAAACTCACATTTATGGAAAAAAAAAGAAAAGAACATTTTTTAATTTTATTGCATGGTAAATTTAAACTAAGTATGACACTCTATGGATACTCATGCATACTCTTATAGGGCAACAGCAGACATAGCTCACCTTTAGGTGTGTACATGCCCTGCTGCATGGAACCCCCAGGCTCAAACACAGGAGCTTTAAAGTCAGCCACAGCTGAAAGCATCTCCTCAAAGCTACAGCTGCCAGGAACAATGCCACTCTTAGGATTAGGGTTCTCTGGAATCTGGAATATGTGTTAAGGAACAGCTTAAAAATATTATTAATAAAATATTCATATTTTACCTATTTTTCAACTGCAAGTGATAGAATCTAATTTGAAGAACTGGACAAATAATGTATGACAAACAATTATAATGTTGGTAGAAACACAGACTTGTACAGAGCAAATACAAGTACAGTGTGGAAACAACAAAAAACAAACTCATTCACAGAGGCAAATTAACAAAAAGAAAATGTATGACTGCTATTATCGGTTTAGAGAACAGGATCAGTAAAGGATACAAGATCAAGAAGTGAGCTGTGTGTGCGGTCATTCATACACAGCTGGGACACCATCTCTGCCCGTAAAATCTCATCATCAGTCATGCCTGAAAGAGAAAAAAAGAGAAACAGGTAAACAACACACTGTCTTAAGTACACAGTAACCAAAACAGTCCATTTTATTCTAAGGAACAGAGAGAAGTTAGAAAATGGTAATATAAAAGATATATTAACATTAAAAAATAAAACATTAGAAAAATGTAGGATATGGGCCCTTTTAGTAGTACCAACCCATGTGTATGCGGAGGCTGCACAATATGACGAGGAAAGTGAGAGCCCCCTCTAGCATTGGCCTCTCCTGCTCCGCATCCAGTACTGTGTTCTGGTGCTGCGACGCCATCGTCAACAAGTCCACTACTTTAAATCTGACCCATTGACAGAAGAAAGAATATGATATATTTCAATGGAATTAATAATTTCATTTCAATTTTAACAGCAAGAAGTTACACTGTAATAAACACAAAGTGTATGACTAATAAATCCAAGTGGACCTATTAACAGGTTATGAGAATTTGTGGTAACTACAGAGCAATAAAGTATCAGACATACCTCTCAAACACTGAAGAAATAAAGTAGTCTGGATCTAGTCGTGATGCGCACACCTGAAAAACATTCAAAGGACTCCATCTGACCATTTCCACTGAACTGATACATGCCTGTGAACAAAGCCTTAAGAGCAAACAAGAACTATATTCAAATTAATGGAGGAGAACATTTAATAAATGCCTTAAGCACAGCTCAAAGGTAGGAGCAGGATGTGGATTTGTGCAGCATATCTAGATGCAGAACATATAAAGAACAGTATGAATATTAGCAAGTATAAAATAGAGCAATACCTGTAGCAGGAAAATGTCTGGGTCAATCATAGAGTTGCAGAAGTGAGACTGGACGTACGTCATAGCCTGCCCTTTTATCTGTAGTCCATTCCTCACCCACATATTACTGTGGATCTCAGACAGACAAGCCTATAAGAGATGCGCGCACACACACACAAAATTAGTTAATGGACATAACATTACATTATACAATGCAGTTCTGTACGTTACTGTACAAGACAACTGCAGTTTACCATACTTCAACACTCTCCATCATAGTGTCATAGTGATCTGTGCTGTGCATTTACAAACACTGCAATGCATTTATTGACACTGTTGAATACCCTGGGCTTACTTCAATACTTAATAGGTCAGTTTCCAAGACCCAGACATACTAAGCTGACCACGCAGAACTAGCATCAACAAAGGGCGATTAGGACTCATTTTCATGTTGAAATCGCAATTTGAAAGAGCACAATTTTCTAATTGCAGGAGCAGCAACAACATTGCCTTAGGTTTTAACTTAATAACATAGAGCTTGTGAAGTGCCTGATGAGACAGACCAATCAGAAGCGACCAAACATCTTAAGTTAACATAGCTAGCATAACAAAATCTAACAATTGTGGAAATAATAGTGAATTAAAACATGAGGGTGGCACATGTTTATATGACAAAAAGTTAAAAAAGTCCATGAAATGAGTGATGTGTCCTTTGCTTTATTGTGTTAGAGTATCTTTGAGGGTTAGTATTTAATATTGACAAAATATCCTTGTTAGGAATATGACAATCAAATTCATTTTGTGTTTGGCATGTTAGGGCCCTAAGCCTAAACTAAAAAGAATACAACAACTCAATCCAAGACAAGGCTTAATTCATGTTCAGGAAACCAGACCTTATCATGCAAATATGCTCAAAATGACTGTATAATGGTAATACAGCCAACAAGTTTCAAGTTTTTCCAGCTCTATCACCTGAATTAACTCGTGTGCTATTCATGACCTGAGCAGGTGTACTTAAGATAGACAAATGTGGCCTTTTTCCTGTTGTTGCTTACAGCATCACCTCTTTTGCATAAGCCTGATCTGCTGATAGAGTGAGAAGCTAGGGACCGATAATATCAGCATAACACTAAGATTCAAAGTCAGACATGCTAAATATCCTTAGAACAGCATATGCTATACAAAAGTGTGAGTGTGTGAGAGTGCACAGGCCCTACTGAGTATCTCCTCCTGAGGTAAACTCATTTGGAGTTCTACAGATGAGGAGCTAGTTACCTGTATTTGGAGAGGATGCACCATGATCTTCATCAGCATTTCCTGGTCAGGAAGCAGACTATCCAAGTCTAGCCCCTGACACTTCACCGCCTGGACCAATTCAAGAATATAGATCAGATAAGATTTTATAAGAGCACAAAAATATCTCTATCCAGGTGTGAGTGAATAGAAATTACAGCCAAATAAAACACCTGACCTTTAAACTGACTAGTCACTCTTCAGTACCTGATCACTTTAAAAATGGTCTTCACCTCACATAATTTAAATGGCTGTCCTGTGATTACTGTCATTCTTATCATTGGTTATATGCAAATGTTACACATTAAGATTAGTTACCTTGCTGAGGAACATGGCATAGTAGCGGTGCAAGGGCAAATGAAATGTTACTTGATTGGGAGCAGGCTGTTGGAAAGAGAGTAAACAAGAGGATCAACACTGCTAAACTGTGCACAAATAAACAGATAAAAAGTCAATGGGATTAATACGTATTGCAATGCGAATTTAAAACAGCACTAAATGACTGTACCTCATCAACAAAACCAATGGCGTCAAACCAGATCTGTAAAGTCTCCAGGCAATACCGCACCACTGTCTTAGTGTACTCCTGTGTTTCCTGTCAATATTAAATCCAAGCATTCATCCGTCACACCAACACCTAAAACACTCAACAACTCATTTGCTTTGGTCATCACTTGCTTTTAACAACGAACGCTATAACTGCAGTACATGCGACACCTGTGCATTGTAATGGCAAGTCATTTAGCATTTGCTGCCTTTTTTCCAGAGGGCAGAACCAAAATGAAGTAAGGCTAACATTTTGCTTTTTTTTTTTAATTAGACTACACACATGGTGGCTGATCAGGATCTTACTTTCACTTTGCAGTGTGTAAGCAGCCCCCACATAGGCTGAGCACAGGCCTCCAGTTCAGCAGCGAAAGCTGCGTAGTAGGTCTGAGACTCAAACTCTACATGCTCATTCAACTCCCTCTTGTTCAAGTTCATCCCTGAAAAACAAATGAAAAAGATAAAAGAAGGAAAAAAGATTACAATATTTTCTAATGCTCTGCAGTTTTAATACTACAGATTCAGTGGCAATCTAAAGCAATACAAATATTACAGATGTGACAATTAAGAGGATAACCCTGATCTGAGGGGGGTGGGGGACCTCGCATATGTAATATTTTTGGCTTTACGCTGGTAAGACATCTCACAAAAACTCAACCTCAGCCAAGAATACTAAAATAATAAGACGCCAAAAACCATGTACTCTTCTTGCAACACACCATACATACCACTTTTGAATTACCTGTGAAGATGAAACTTCTATAGTGCTGATGCTGCAGTGAAACTGACCTTGAAAGAAGGAGACAAAGCTCATCCAGAGCATGAGCAGGGAGTGATCCTCCAGGAAGCGCTTGGCTACGCTTTGGTGAGAGAGAATATTAATAAAGTCGCTAACTAAAGGCCAGTAGGTGTTGTTCTTCAGCAGAGCTTCCCCACAGTTCACCACCACATGACGATTATTCTCTTCATCTAAAATGACAAACACAAAATTATGCATAACACAAAAATAGTACTCACTGACTGACCACAGTACTCACTGACTGACCCCCTAGTTGCTGCTGTTACAGTTTTTAATTAACTAATTAATTATTTACTTAGTTATTTAACAGAATTCAACTGGTTCTTATACTGGTGGATTAAGACTGGCTGCACCGCAGCATATTTACCTTGCAGCTCACTCTTAATAAGGCAGCTTTCCATCATGTACAGCAGCACAGTGACCATGATGTCCAGCAGCTGGCACTCCTCAGTAACATGACGCGCCAACTCTTCATTACTGAACAGCTGCACACTGATGTGCACAATTCGGTTGGACATTGTGTCTGACTCATGGCTCTTCATCAGAGTCTTCATGATGAACGCATAGTGCTGAACAAATGTTTTAGTGAAGGTGATCTGAAGGGCAGAAGGGCAAAAAAAATAAATGAGTAAATAAATCAAATCAAATCAAACTGGCAACACAATATATAAACAATTTACTCTGTTAATTTTACGTAATTTGTATGCTTCACAATGAACTGTACCCTTGACATGCACTTGTAATATTAAACAACGAAACTGAAGAGATCAATAACAATTTGCAAAAGAAGCTTAGTTTGCTGAGCGCATTAGTACGAAATTCATACCTTATAGTCTTGATCTGGTAGCATGTTGAGTAAAAAAGTGACCATCTTCTGTGGAAACTCATATTTAATAGTCCAAAACAATAACTCTTCTAAAAAACATTTATGTTTCAGAGTATCCATTATGGATGGATCTAAAAGAAGGGGAAAAACAAGAGCATCAGTGTTCTCCTCTCCATTTGTGTTAGTAAATAATAAAAAAAGAAAGAAACACAGAGTTCAAGTTATTTACCTTTGGTACTACTGCTCAGCTTTACCCTCTTTCTCTGGCCCAAACACTGCCCTCCATCCTGATCCTCCTGTTTAAGAAAGAATAAGAGGTGTCTTGCATTTCCTTATGGTTAACATTATGCCTTTAAATAAATACAAGAACTCTTAAAAGGCTTCGTTTCATAAAGAGCAGACAAAGCACATTCCAAACAAGACACATTTCATTACTTTTATGAATGAGGAAACTGGCAGCTGCTGATGCGAAGAACATTTGGTCTCTTTTCTTACCTCTTTGTTTTCCTCATCTGGGCTAGCTGCTGCAGCAGCTCCTAAAACATAAATAAAAGAAAAAAAAAAAAGAACAGGATACCAATAAGTTAAGGATAAGACTTGATTTTTGAATAAATCAGAAGGAGAGGACGACTCATGATCAGCTGTCTTTTGGATCACAAGAACTCCACACTATGTACATTCACTTTTTTGAATTCTACAAATTCTACACCTTTGTTAAACAACAGCAGCCTCTGACACACTAATCTCACAAGATCAGATGTGATCTTGTAACGAGAATACACTTCTGGAGAACACTGGTTACAATTTTAGTAGTGGATGGCTTGAGATGTTCTAAGTGCACAGACAGGAAGAAACTGGGGGCAGGTTTTAGTGGGAAATCTTGCCCCCAAATTCCTCCTGTTGGTGCGCTTTTCACATCACAAGTATGATCAATAACAAGTGAAGCAATATCTTAATAGTTAATGTGACAGTGGCGGCAAATGTAGTAGCCAATTCTTTACGCATCGCATTTACAATGAATAGCACTAAAAACATTCAACTTTTGCCACTTCTCCAGTCCCTTGTTCAGTGGTGTTCCTATACTAACACATCTACAATCCCACTCATGTTTACGCCAAATTGCCCCGCATTTGTCTCCAGACGTGCATTCTTGTTATAAAACATGTAGTCTGTCCCTATGAGACTACAGACACACCTATACCTTTAAAATGCAAGCCTCAGATAAGCCAGCCATGAAATTAAGTCCTTCAATAAAGGCACTGAAGAAAAAGTGTTACCCAGCAAGCTCAGCGCTCCAGCTCCAGCAAGTGAGTCTGCTGCCCCAGGCCCTGCACCTGCTGACCCCTTCTCCTCCACAGACACTAAGCCTGAATTCTTCAGTGCTAACAGGTACTTCTCATAACTTCTCTTTGCATACACATTCTCCTCCTGGCCTGTGAGTGAGAGGAAATGTGAAATTGTTATAGACAATGATACATTTCAAAAGCAAGAATAATTTCTAATTTCTCACAAAAATAGAGAAACCATGCAGCAATGACTATCTGAAAGGGAAAAGAAACCAATTTCTTAGGTCAACAGCAACAGTAAAATAATAAATTACCTGCAAATTCTCTTTTCAAATCTTACAGAAATTTAAACTTTTTGGGTGTATGCAAGGCTGGGATGGACCAAACAGCATTTTGTTAGCTATACTGGCTGATGCCAATTCCAACCAGGGACATGGGATAGGATGCTGCGATACTTCTGATGTCAAACATTGTTTAAAGTCACACAACATAGCTGTAATATCACATTTTTATTCCCAAATTACTCCAAGTAAAATGATTGTTATACCAATTAAAGCAGCAATTTAACAGCTGGACCCATTTTAACGTAAAACAATATGACAAAGGCACAGGGCTGTGCAACTGACTCAAGACTTACTAAGATTTACTTTCACAAGTAAATGCTTTCTGGCACAACAGCCTGTTCCTTTTCTTATTCAAAATATTTGAAGCAGCCCTAAACAATCTTTCACTGCCCACACTTGTACAAGGCACAGAGAGGCAGGCTCGAGCAGCTTTGGCAAGAGAAAAGTGGCCCTTATTGCTCTGCCAGTAATTCAGAGCCTGAGCACTCCACTGGATTGGTGCCTCAGAATTGTAGTTAAGCACTAGAAATGAGATCAGATTGTCACTTTCATGGTCCTCTGTGCTTTCCTCAATATTACAGTATACATGCTGGATGAGCAATCTACTTGTGATCTGCACAGTTTGGTGGCTTATTGTCGGTGCTGTGTTATCAGTTTTTGCTTCTGATACACACTGTCCTTCTTTGGATGACAAACTCATGCGTCGCATCTGGTGAGTGGTCTTTACTTTGCCCCATATATAACATTAGTTTGTGCAAACTTTGCAAATACTATTGGCTTGGTTAGAGTCAGATATTGTGAAAAACTGCCAGCCTGGCTCACATATTTTGCAACATTGATCGGCTCACAGTATCGTATAAATTACAGAAACATCGGCCTAACGGCAATCGCATATTTAGGCCAAAAATCCTCTGATGCTGAACTCTAACTGATTGGTCCTCTCATCCTTAACACAGGGTATGGTTATACACCACTGTAATTGAAAATGCGCTTCCATTATTCATTACGAAATATTCGGATAGTGAAGATCTATGTGAAAGTGCACCTCAGCTGCTCACTGGAAGATCTACGAAAGTGCATTTTGTGTCCACTTGGACATACCTACCCACGCTCAGTTCTTTAAAGGTCTGCTGATTGGTTAAAATCTTTGTAAGAACAGTGCGCATAGCTCCACCCATCTTAGTGAGTTCTTCTAAGAAAGATATCTGAGGCTCCAGCTGCTGTAGGACCTTCTGTAGATCCCTATCTGTGGCTGACTCTGGAAACACAGCATAAACAAATGGTTGGGTTACAAAGAAGTTAGACATTTCTATACGTGGGATAATTAACAGAGGCCAAGCATGTAACATATGTAGCAGAACATGTTTTATTTATTTAAAATATTTTGAGTCTGTTTGGGAGAATAATTTTACAGATGTGCAACACTACCTGGCCCAGTGCTGATAAAGCTAATCAAGTACCAACTTGAGAGTGAGTTTTAATGAGCTGTTATCTACTGTACCGATGCTAAGTGAAGGCTACATATTTTCAGGCAGTCTTTTTTCTTCCCTGGTAATGGTCTGCCAGCACTGTATTACAGGTGTATAACACACAGCACAAAGAAGGACTCAATTTGCCCTCTTGTGGTCATTAACTGTATGTTCACATAACAAATGTTAAATCAAATCAGTTACCATGACATCTCGCAATTAACCGCGTGGAAAATGACCAGGTTCAAAAGCAGGCCTGGCAGACTTGGCAGGCTTGGTTTGTACAATGTCTCACCTGGCTCTGTGTAGCCATCTCTCAGGTACTGTATTATGCTGATGATGAAACGAGGAAGAACCATCTCAGACATGAGCAGTAGATCGTGAGGAACCAATGGAACATTCTCCCCTGTTTTTAACCGATGCCGTCTGCAAAACCTGTCAGATAAAAGTTTCAGAACACATTCCATGAATGTGGTATAATATTGACAACATGTTATTTTACTGTGCAGGATACAAACCACACTTCACACAGCATGTGGGTACAATTATGACTTAGGAGCCAAGAAATTCAGTGAGCAAAAAAGTTGCTTAACACTCCAAAAAATGTGATCCAAATAACAGAATTAGGCCTAGGATAATCCTTAAAACGTTAAATGAGAAGATCAAGAAACATAACGCAGAAACATGATGCCCTAACGTTTCCTAACCAATCTATATTTTTACTCCATTACACATCTCATCTCACAAAAGCCATACAATCAAATACAGTTTACACTGCCAAAATGTTTTGAAAGCTGATCTAGAAGGAAAAAACATGGATCTACTACAAGTGCTCATAACTGAAAAGCCCTGCCCTAAACTAATAGAGTATCTGACATACAGCTAATACAAGATGAAAATTATAGTTCTGACATAAATCCATCTAGCTGTCCTATGTGAAAAGATACATATGTTCTACCACTACACTGAAAACTGATGCAGTATTAAAAATTGTCAAGTTACACTGTTACACCTTATAGATCTGTAGAACAAATCAGTACAGAAAAAACTGGTGGTCTCTTAGGTCTAATAAACTCAACTTTGGCTGAAAGGATGTTCAATATTACCAACAACTGTCAATCACTGTCACAGTATAGACCTCAATGAATGCAAAACACTGCAGCATGCAAATAAGCACAAATCAGCCACTTCTGTTGTGTGCTGAGAGAGCACAGTTATGTTGCTAACAAACACAGATTACAGAGCAATTAAGCTGCACTGCTGTTAAGCATGCCATATTAAAATGTGTTCCACCATATTAAAGATGTAGTAAGACTTTATATGACATTAATCTACATTAGCTAAGGTCAATATCTCTCAAAGCTCTTCTGCCCCACTTTGTGAAAATGTGTTATATGTCTCCTTTATCAGCTGACTGGCTACTTGCAAGTGGCAACACAGACAATGTTTGAAAGTCGTGCAGCGGTTACAGTCTGTGGTCTCCTGGAAGTGTGCAATATACTTAACTGTTTGCAATTTGGATTCATGATAAAGCAGATCTGACATCTCTAACAGACCAAGATATAATGCGCGCACAAAAATAAGCATCAATCTTGAACGGATATGCAATACAAACTAATATGAATATTTCAAGCTTATGACTAAACAATTCTGTTTCAATGTATGTAGTCTTCATCTTGCATATCTTGGATGTCTTACAATTAAGAACCAACAAACAAAAACTTCATGAACTGAACTGGACTCATTATACTTGATGCAATTATCTACCACCTGAGGCGTGGTGCTCATATCACTTCTCCCTGAGAAGAGCAGGTATACAGAGTCAGGATAACGAAAATAATGAAAGTGAAAGCGCACAACACCTGAGAGAAACCTGAACTTTAAATTAATAATTCTGTATATATAAGCGATAAATAAGAATGACATTTAGGAACAACACATCTTCATTCATAAACCGCAGTATAATTACTGTCAGCAGGATTTTTCCTCCTCATAAATGATCTTACCTTTAGACAAACCCGTTTCCTGGTGCCTCACAGAGAAGCATGTCAAGTCCACAAATGAGAGACGTTCTAAATACATTCGGCAACAAACCAGCAACAAACCAGCTACAGCTGAGCAACAATAAAATAAACATGAACTAACGTTATTGGTTTTGTCCGCGAATGAAATGTACAGCTAAGTGTGAAGAACAGTTTCTTGTGCGAAAAGAAATAGGTAAGACCTGTCACTGACCCTCTCGTTGGGTTAAAAATAACCCAGACTTTGACACTCAGTAAGACAGCAGCTAGCTGAATCCCCGTGCTAAAAGGCTAGCTTGGCTACGTTAGCGAGCAGGCAGCGCTGCAAAGCTCAGCTAGGTTCGCTAGCTAGCTTAGCGTCCCAGTGTTACTGTAACACAGATGAAGCTTCGAGTTAAGTAAATGTTTCGTTTCAGCGCTTGTGACACACATTTAGCCAAGTACAGCTGCCCAACTGTCACACAACAAAGACGACATATTGGCTAGTAATTTACCCTTGGTTAATGACAGAAAAATAGTAGCTACAAGCTAAGCTAGCTAGTTAGCGAGCTTAGCTTGTACCAAGCAATCTACTTACCCACTTTCTCGCATGACATTACTGTCTCCACAATCGCAGGCCCCACCGGCCTGACTCCTAAACATGTTAAAATCATGGCCCGTGTGATCCCCGTTGTTAAAACACTCCGCACACAGTGACATACAAGGGGAAATGCCACAGGTCCGACATCGGTAGGCTACAAAATTAGCAGTCCAGACTAAGCCACAGAGAGTAGCGTTATCGTAGGAGCGGACGGTCTTGCAGAACTCCTCGAACCCGTCCCCTCCTGCCAGCAGATATTTACACCAGTCAAGGGCCTCAGTGTCCGCCGCTGGCTTCTCTGGATTAAGAACATTATCCAGCAATTCCTGAAGTTGCCGGAGTCCAGAGCTGTTGTCAGTCCGATTGAGGTCCGCCTTTAGATGAGCGGCTGTGGCTTTCTTGTCCCGGCGCAGCAGCGACGCCGCCATCGTTCACTCTGAATTGTTGTCCAGAATTTATTTTTGTTGTCTTGTTGCTATGTTCTCGCCTTTTCTCGCGACACGCCACGATGTTATGGAGCGCCTTGGCCAGCAGCGCTGCTAGGTAAGCTGGCAGCGGTAGATGTTGCTTATCTGACCGGAGCACGCAGATCAGACGACTATTTCTGAACGAATGTATGTTAATGTTATTTAACAACACGTGTAGTAAAACGTAATCTATGACATCAAGTTCTGAGAAATGATTTAAGTTATTTAAGCGTTTTTGCCTCACATATGTTTAACACTGCTTAGGAACACACCTTTGTGTTATTTAAATAAAAATGTCATACGCTCATGTAATAATAATAATAATTATTATTATTATTATTATTATTATGATTATTGTTGTTATTATTATTATTATTAATGTTTTTATTACCTGTTTTCCCATGGTCACCCTATGCTTTCTTAACCCACTTTCTTTGTTTTTTTTTTTTGGTTTTTTTTTTTGGATCCACTGTTTCTGAGATCTATGACTAGAGCAGAACAATGACGAGTCGGCTCACCATGAAGGGTGAAATGTCTGTAGGCATTTGAACCAACCTTGCACTCACTGTGAATTCTCCTCCTTTACGAAGAACAGGAAAACTGATTTGATTGTATATTGCAAATACAGGGTTCTGCAGAATTACTGGCACCCTTTGGAAAGAAATGGAAAAAAGAAAATGTCTTTGTTGCTTATTAAAGACGTGGACTTCCAACGAGATCAATTAATTTAAAGAATTTTTTTTTTTACCTCTCTTCACATTTCTCTCATATTTTTTTAGTGACTAAGTTAATAAACAACAAGGACCATTTATACTTTACTCAAGTAGTGTTGAAACTGAATACTCAATTACATTTCCAAGAGGAAAAAAAAACATACTGTTTATTTCTTACATTATCATTTAGACAGTCAGTGTATTTATCATAAATCTGAAAAGACAAGAATTTAACCTTTTTTTTATTTCTCTTGCCAATCAATCTTCACCATTTAATTGTATTGTTTTCTTTAATATCATTGTAAAATGAAACTGCTCATAGCTATGCTAATTTATGTTAGGACTAGTACCACCTATTAGTCAATGCACCACACACAGAGTTTGCTAAAAAAGGTTAATGTAAGGCAGACTCACTAGTCTGGTTTACATAGTACGTGATTAACTTGTGTCCAACAGTAAAGTTACTTTTATGTAAGTCATGAAAAGAGCATGCACTGACTTGTGATTGAACATTTTATATTATTATTTTTTACTTTTATCTACGTGTATGTTTTACATTTTTTTGCTCATGTATATTTTTGGCCTCATAAACTTTAAACTGAGGAGGAGTTTGACGCAGTACCTATACTAGCTCCTCTGTACTTTTTCCTAACTTGATTAGATTAGAAATAACTGAGCTCTGCAGGACTCACCAATAGCAGACTTGAACATCTCTGATAAAGACACCATGGGCTTCACAAATGCTGAGCTTCCAAGTCTTTTGGAAGATGTAATCTAGCCTCATTGTGAAAAAGAATAGGTATCAAACAGTCTGCACACCACTTTCTCATAGCCAAAGAAAACCAGAGAATTTTAGAATTGCAGTTCATGTGTCCTCTGAATGTTTTTATCCTTATCTTTAATGAAAATACAACAAAATCTGCATATCTTACTGCTTTGCATACTTTGGCATAAAAATAATAAATAAAAATAACCAGAAATGCTAAAGTGTTTATGCAGCCTAAGTAATTCCCCGGTAATGCTAGGTTGCTGCTAGATGGTTGCTCTAGTATCTTAGGTGTTTGCTAAAATATTGCTAGGTGGTTGCTAAGGTGTTGCTCAGTGATTGCAGTGGTACCCCAGGTGGTTGCTAAGGTGTTGTGTGGTGGTTTCTATAGTATTCCAGGTGGTTGCCAGGCCCAACATTCTCAATCAGACCTAACATTTTGGAAATGGTTTGGTGTCTGTATCTTGAAAACTGCAAGATGTTTTTGCGGTAAAACTTAGGCAGAAAAATAAGAAGAATATAAATAGAACCAGAAGAGTGCATTTCCTACAGATAATGCAGAGTGATTGCACATCTTAAGCAATTCCTAGATACTTGCTAAAGTGTGACCAAATGGTTTCTGTGGTATTAAGTGGTTGCTAAAGTATTGCTGAGGTATCTGAGGTGGTTGCTTGGTTATTGCTAAATGGTTGCTATTGAGTCTCTGGTGGTTGCCAAGGTGCTGTCCTGTGGTTACCACCTGTAAACAAGCCCACTTGTGGCTAGGATAAATAGTAAAATGTCATATAAACAAAGCCTGGGTTAAACAACAAATCACTTTCAAGGCTATACTTTATGCAAGTCTTATTAAAAGAAAACCATCGGAAGCTTTTCTTTTCTAAAAACAAGCACAGTTTATTAAACATCCAGTAACAAACAAACAGCCCATATGATTAAAGAAAGGACATTTTCATTTTGGTATGCAAATTGTACACATAGCTATGTACAACAGTACTAACAGGACTAAAATGACAAAAGCGAGTTTTATTTGTTTGCAGAATGTTCCTAAAGTAATTCTCAGAGGCCACTGCATTGCCCTACAAATAAATAAAGCAAACATCATGATACTAGCACATGTTAGGTGTAGCACTGAAGCATCATACCATGTAGCATGTAGTTTGTTAGATGAATACTGAAGAGAGCCTTAATGGTTTAGAATAGTCATCCCATTGCTAGTCACGGATCGTGCTGACATGTAGCATCCATCATTTCTGTGATGCTTTCTGCCAAAGGTAAGTATACTGGATTTCTGTGCGAGTGTGGTCCAAACTGAAGTTGGTACCATGTAATAAAACTGGTTAGTTGGCTATTGAGGTGTTTTCCTGATTCTTCTAGATTTCCTCCAGAACCTTTCTTTTAAATGGCACAGTCATTGTACTTTTGAGGTTTCCAAAGAATCGACCTGCCCATGAACAGCAGTCACACACATAGGCTAAGTATTAAAACATACATCTGATAATGGACAGGATCTGCTCTCAAACCTAAGAGTTCAAGGATTGAACAAAAACTCTGAAAACATACAGCATGAGCAAAGACAAATAATTATATACAGTTACATGTATTGAACTGTGATAACACACTGAAGTAGATGCGATTCTGTTTATAGTTTGAGACTTTAAGATACTCTGGGATGGGATGTAAGATTTGTTTTTTCTGTAATGGTCTTGGTCATTGTTAAGAGTTGACAGTAGCAGATAAAGGTTACTTTGGGTGTGCAAGAAGTGCATTGTGTCAAAAGTCTAAACCAATGTTTATTTCAGATTAAATGGTCTTTCTCTTTCAAATGTTCCTGCTGATTGACACAATAAGACTACACAAATAAACACATCAGATATATTTCTTGCCACTTAAAAAGTCAATAGTGAAAATGTGAAAAGTAAACAACATAAAAATATAACAAGCGGCTATTTAAAAATATGGGCCGTCACTTAAATTATATAAATAGGGTAAAAAGGCAATAAATATATTTAAAGCTTAGGCTTTTTCCCTCCAGCATAGAACCCATAACAACAGACAAATCAGTTATCAAATAATCAAACTTGCTAACATATTCAAATGCAGGAAACAGTGATGGACAAATCAATGGCAAAATAGTCAAAAACACTCTTACATTACTTTCTCACCAATGGCATCAGAAAAGGCATCAGATTCCTTTATCACAGATGACTGATTTAATGATGAACTAAAGCCTTCATCTATAGCAAAACTGATTGTGTGATGTTGTGTAAACCCTAGGCATAGGCAATAACTACATGTGGACCATGCTGAAAATTCGGTTTCATATCCTATATAATCCCATTAATCTCATATTAAACTGTAAAAATATCTGCTGTCCTATATCTACAGACAATGCATCTTCTAGAAAAAAAGCTAAATATTTCTTCAGTCAGTACAGCAGTGTTCAACCACATTCTATATTACTGTACATTCGTCCTGTACATTAACTAACTTTCTTTGCCTGAATTTATGCTCTGAGATTGTGTTAAATGGCTGACATTTAGAACATATACCCACAGTGATACACCTCAGTTGAGGGCCGTTCTTTAATACTTCAGTGTACAGCTTTATTTCAGACGAGGCCAAGGATTCACTACGCACAAATTTAGTTGTGTGCCAGCCACAAGATGTCATCATTTAGCTGTGGAGAGCACACATTTGCTTTCTAGGCAGGCATAGATACCTTATTCTGAAATGATTTGCACAGATTTATAGTCTCAGTGGGCCAGAGTGGTTAATCCCTGCTATATCTTGGACATAAAGGACCATATCTGAACACATCTACACATTTCTGTATACAGTAAAAGACATTTTGGTATTGTACACTCTTAAAAATGAAGGTGCAAAAGGAATTATTTGAAGCAAGACCACAGATGATTCATCCATCAATGGATGGTCTTTTCAAAAATGATTTGAAAATGATCTTTTGATCCTTTTTTTTAAAAGACCTTCCCATAACATTAATATTGTATACCAATTAAAGGTTTTTCCTAGAACCGTACATCCAAACCAAGAACCATTTACGATCCTTCATTTTTAAGAGTGTATCCTAAAACGTAACCCGTTTCTTCTCCACTGTGTATTTCTCTCTTATATGGTGTGTCCCATAGTGCTACTAACCAGACCTTTTATATTAGTGACAGGTCTGACATCGTGTAACTGCTTGCGCCTGTCGATAAAAGCCGCCAGCCTGGCCGTGTCCAATGGCGTTTTGGAGTAGTCACCACTGTGAGCGCTCACCCATGGGTGCTGCAGACACGTGGACGAGCTCGGCCTCTTTCTGGGGTCCTGGTTCAGCGCTGAGATGATGAAATCTCTCGCTGCCTGACTCACCCCACAGAAATACTCATCTGGAAAGCAGAAGTCAAGTTTGCAGATGTTGACGCAGGTCTCCTCCAGACTTTCATCCAGAAATGGGGAGACTCCACTCAACAGGACATAAGCCAGCACTCCAACACTCCAGACGTCCGTAGATAAGGAGACGGGGGTGCCCTGGATGAGCTCTGGAGCTGCAAACTCAGGGTTCCCCAGCAGGAGGTGCACATATCGATGCCCTGATATCTGTACTGCATCACCAAAGTCTATCAGCTTCACACAAGGGACAGGCATGCGGGGATCCACCATCAGGTTCTCAGGCTGTACAGGATGAAAAAGTATTGAGGGTTATGAGGTTTTGGTATAACAGAAACAACATGAATTTAGTGGAAGGATAATTGTGGACAATTGTAATTATGTCATTTTACTGCCATTGATTTGGTTTTAAAAGTTCACCTTCAGGTCTAAGTGTGCCACTTTACAGGTGTGCAGATGCTGTAAGGCCTCCAGAGTATCCTTAATGAAGAACGCCACCTTTTCCTCCATCAGCTCATCATGAGCCACCAGGTAATCCAACAGACGTCCACCATCCAGCCTGTATACAAACCAAACAATTTTGTCCATAAAACAGGAAAAGCAATATCCACACCATTGCCCACCTAAAACCTAAAATGAATGCTTTAGTCTTGAATATAACTTTTCATTTGAATTATACTAGAAACCAATCACATGTATAGAAAAGCAAGGGTGATTAAATGTCTAGTATACCTACCAGACTCTGCAGTGAGGTAGGCTGTTTTCCAAACTCTGATTTGTAGCTATTCAACCAGCTATTTCTTTTAGTTTTCAGCATTTGGTTTTCAGACTTACAGCTCTAGGACGAGTATGTAGGCTGTGGGTGACTCGTAGGTGTCGGTCAATACCACTAGCTGAGGGTGCTGGACATGTTTCAGGATATCTGCCTCATGAGCCACCTGCTCTTTCTTCTGCATCTTCTTATTGACAAATTTCACTGCCACCTCCCTCTTACTGGCCCTATGCAGATATTTCCTCACCACAGAGAAACGACCCCTGAATCCAGCAAGATATATATATATATATATATATATATATATATATACATATATATATATAGAGAGAGAGAGAGAGAGAGAATGTATGAAGGTGCAAAGTCTAGTAAAATTACTAAGCTGCATAGACTATAAGAGGGAACAGAACAAGACATCACCTTCCGATTTCACAGATTTCTGTAAACGCTGACTCAAAGTTGTCTTTCCACTGGATTCCGGTTCCATCATATGTTGAAACTTCAAACGGCAACATTAATATATTTGTGGAAACAAAAGACATTGTGTACAAAAAAGAAAGGTTACACTGTGAATAAAGTCAGTTCTTATATATATAAAATCTATGTGATGATGTGTCATATTTATCTTACATATTTGTTTAATGAATTAATGTTTAACAAAAGTATGTGTGCAGTACTAACCACAGCTAGGTAGTGTGACCATGTTGGAGGGCTCACTGGGGGCACTGATGCCCCAGGGGTTGCTGGCTCTCACTCTGAACTGGTAGTGCCCACCTGGGATCAAATCCTCAATCTTCACACATACATCTGCTGTGGACACCACCGACTGCTGCCACACCAGCGAGTCTGCACACAAACACACATGTATGTGTAATTAAAGATGTTCTGAATGAATGTATTATGTTATTAGCCAGGTTTCCATGCAGCTGTTAAACTGAAGCGAGTAACTGAAAACTTGCCATAAATAAATAAATAATAAATAAATAAATACAATTTGGATTTCTTTGATATATGGACCAAATTTACAGACAAATCTTTAATGCTGAGCAGCTTCTTACAGCTGTTTTGTCATAGCTGCATTATCATAAATGCAAGGACACTGGTGAACATAATGGCTTGAGAAATGCCCATTAATTTTTGCAGGCATTTTATATCAGTTTACCATCTAATATCACCATTATATATTTTTCTTTGTAAGACATGCTTTTATTTCTTCAGTTTCTTTTATAGCCTGCTGCTAGGCAAAAAGAGAAACACTTGAGCAGTTAAATTACTTTATTCTACATCCATTTACATTAATTATTTGGCAAATGCATTTACATGATAATTTACCGTATTTCTTTTTTTTTGAACCTTGGCTTTTTAACCAATTTAATCATTTTAAATTGATTTTCTATTTTAGACTTAATGAAGTTATATTGCATCAGAACAGAAGATTAAATTGTGCGCTTAAAGTTGCTACCTCTAGGACTTGATAAAACTGCTAACACAAGTCATTAGTCATGTAGTAAGAGTGAGCAGGGTTGGGCAGAATACTTTAAAATTATGAATACTTTACACACTGACCTAAATGTACTTATGTACTTAAATGTACTTAATGGAGTAATATATTCCATTACAAGGCATACAAAGTAACATTAAGGATATGTTTAGAATATATTTAGACTACAAACTGATAAGACACACAGGAAAATTCTGCTGTTATAATTTATATTTAAGGCAACCTGTACCTTGCCATTACTAGTTGGCAGTTTTTTCCTGGAAATCAAAATCTTGCAAATTGACCTATAAAGTGGGTCTCAATTTTCAGTTAAAGACACATATGCAACTTGCTACAAAATGCATTCGCGAGTCCAGTACAACACCAGTGCTTAGCCTATCATGTCCACTACTGTTCCGTTCAATCATCTCTCAGAGGAGTTTAGCAGCTCTGAGATTAATAACTGATCATCACATTGGTTTATCAGTCTACTCAGGCTTTAGCAGAGCTCAGTAATGCAGAGAATAATAACCGATCATCACATTGATTTATCAGTCTATTCAGGCTTTAGCCAGAACCTCAATATTTGTAGACAAGCCATTTTTGAGTTCTTCTAACCAATCAATCTAAGCGTCCCTGAAAAAGAGAGAAAGAATCTCCTGCTTAAATAACTCAATTCTTTTTTTATTTTTTGCCGAGGAAAACGTAAAACAGTAGACTTACTAGTGCACCACCCAGAAGCTGTACACCATCTTTAGCATAACATTCTCTAATCTACAATAGCATTAATGTATTTTTTTTGCATTTGTAACAGAAGAGTAGAAAAGTGCTATACTCTTTACCCACATGCACAGCAAAGTGTAAAAACATATACTGATAAAGCAGAGCATGTGAAGAAGCGCAGGTTACCCTCTTGTCTGTACTCCACTGTGTAGCTGGTTATAGCACAGTTGCCGGAACTGGCTGGGGGGAGCCAGTGCACCACCACTGCTGTACCACTGGCCTCTTGCGCTACCGGCCGTGCTGGAGCTGCTGGAACACCTGACAAAGAGGCAACAAACCAACAGCAATCAGGCAATGTCTCTTAAGTGAGACAAATACTGAAAACTAGATTAATAGTACAGTCACAAAGCAGCGCAAACTAAGAGGCAACTGCTATATTTCACAGAACTAATAATAATAAGTAAAAATGAAAACAAGTCAGTGATATTATTTACATCAATAGATCAGCTTTTTTTGTGTTTCAAGCTAAAAATTCACAAGGCACTCTCGTTTTGCAAGTGGAAAAGTAGCAGTTTGAGCATTATTTGGATTTTTATGCTTTAATTAGACTATTGTATTGTAGTGTATTTTTTTTGTTTTGTACAATTTTAGAGAAAAAAGGAAAAGGTACACCATGCAAAAGTTTGGGTACCCCCAAGAGATTTGATGTTTCAGATAACTCTTATCAAGGAATCAGACCTTAATTAGCTTGTTAGGTCTATGGCTTTTTCACACTTATAATCAGTAAAGGCCAGGCAATGCAAATTTCAAAGCTTGATAAATATTCTGACTCCTCAAAGCTTGTCCCAACAATCAGCATCCATGGGCTCCTCTAAGCAGCTGCCCAGCATTCTGAAAATAACTGATGCCCACAAAGCAGGAGAAGGCTATAAGAAGATGGCAAAGCATTTTCAGTTAGCCATTTCCTGAGTTTGCAATGTAAATAGATAATGGCAGATAACAGGAAAGGTGGAGGTCAAGTTGAGGTCTGGAAAACCAAGAAAGATTTTCCAGGAGAACTGCTCTTAGGACTGCTAGAAAGGCAAATTAAAACCCCTGTTTGAATCCCAAAAGGAGTGGTGGTGCACTGTTCTACTGTATAGTGACACCTGCACAAATATGACCTTCATGGCAGGGTAATCAGAAGAAAACCTTTCCTGCCTTCTCATCACAAAATTCAGCATAAGATGTTTGCAAAGGAACATCTAAACAAGCCTGATGCATTTTGGAAACAAGTCCTTTGGACTGATGAAGTTAAAATAGAACTTTTTGGCCGCAATGAGCAATGGTATGTTTAGAGAAAATGGTGCAAAATTTCATTAAAAGAACACATTTCCAACTGTTAAGCATGGGGGTGGATCAATCGTGGTTTGGGCTTGCGTTGCAGCCAATGGCACAGGGAACATTTCACTTGGAGGAGGAAGAATGGATTAAATTAAATAACAGTAAATTCTGGGAGCAAGCATCACACCATCTGTAAAAAAAGTTGAAGATAAAAAGATGATCTTCTACAACAGGATAATGATCCTAAATACACCTTACAATCCACAATGGGCTCCCTCAAGAGGTGCATGCTGAAGGTTTTGCCATTACCCTCACAGTCTCACAACCTCATCAAAAATCTGTGGATAGACTTCAAAAGAGCAGTGCATTCAAGACAGCCCAAGAATCTCACAGAACAAGTAGCCCAGAATGTGCAAAAATCCCCCAAAAAAGAACTCTTAGTTGGGTGCATGCAGGGTGCCCAAACTATTGCTTTGGACCCTTTTCCTTTTTGATACTTTGAAACTGTAAAATATGAAAATAGAGTCTTTCTTAAAACATTAAAGAAATGTGTCATCTTTAACTTAATGCCATTTGGAAATCAGGTCACCTTTTAATTGCTTAGTTATTTACAGTAACAGAAATTTTGACCAGGGATGCCCAAACTTTTGCATGCCATTGTAAATGTATTAACCAATACAGAACTCTGCTGATAAAATATGAGGCTGCTCATTTTTTTCCATGACAGTGCTCTTTCATGTAGAGAACAGACCAATATGTGCTTTTTCCACATTACCCTGCTGCACTTAAACCGATGCTTAAGTGGAATAAAAGCACAACAGGCACATGGACAGAAGATGAGCTGAACGTGCAGAGATTGCTCCATCTCCTTTTTTCCACATTACCTTGCACTTTAATCGACGCGGAGGATGAAGCTGTTCCGTGGTCGTTAATGGCAACGCAGGTGTAGATGCCAGTGTCCTGGGGCATCAGGTTACAGATCTTCAACAGAATATCACCTGTTTCCCTGGAAACACACAGAACACGACAGATGCAGAACCATCACAGTAAAAAACGTTAGTCAGGACCTTTTGTCATCTACAAGCATGAAGACAAAACCAATAAGGTTCAAATTAAAAATATAAAAAGTGAGAGCTAACCTGCACTGCTTAAACAGACAAACTCACCACTGATTTTCTACTTTATTGGAACAAAAAGAGTGAGAGACCCTGCAACTGGTTGATTTCTTTGACATGATCCAGTCATTAATGAGGAAAACTGTATTTTCAGAACATCTTCACTATAATGTGCATTGAAAGTGGTTTGCTCTTCACAATTAGTTCAAATAAAATCCCCATTAACAACATTAACACATTAATTATATAGGCTGTGTCATATAAGATGTTACATCTTTTGGAAGAAGCTATTCATTATCAGGTTTTCACATGCAGGGCTTTACCTGATGTTGATAGTGAAGCGATTGTTGTTGACCAGTAAGCTCTGGTCAGGACCTTTCAGAGTGATGGTGGGTTTTGGGCGGCCACAGACTTTACAGCACAGGACCACTGTTTCCCCCAGTGCACACGTCACATCAGCCAGAGGGATCAGGAACTCTGGAGCCACTTCATACCACAAAAAGAAAGAAGAAGTATAGTACTACATCACACAATGCATTCAGTCTCATTATCTTATTTACTATCAGATACTGATGCTTCTTATCAAAACAGATTTTGAAAACTTTACTATTATGCATCATCGCTGTTGTAACAAAACCTCCAAAATGTTAACTTTACAAAAGAAAGAAAGAAAAAAATTGTTACCTTTTAATTCAAATGAATATAAAGCGATTTTACTCTTCTATTAGTAAAGGGTAGCTGGTGTTATCAGATGATGATCAAAAAAAAGTTATGAGGTTTTGATATGCGAGCAATGATATGCTGAACTCAAAATTACACTGAAAAGAAAAAAAAACTTGGCAAGTGAAATGATCTTAAATCAAGTCTATATACAATATTGTAAGATTATTGTAACAGTATTATAAGATTATTCAAATTATTTGAATACACATTTTTTCAACTAAAAAAAAACAAATCAAGTAAAACAAATGTCTATTATTATATCATAACATAATATATAATATTCTTTTCCCATAATGAGACTAGATTTAAGATACCTTTGCTTAAAGATATATACATACATAATTGTTATACATATACACACACACACACACACACACACACACACACACTCTCTCTCTCTCTTACATATATGGATCATTCTACTGAACTGGTTCAAAGCTTTTGTTTTTTTGGTTCAGACTTTTAACTGACTTGGGTTTAATACTGAAATCCTTTTGCTTTGAGTGACCCTCCACATCACCTACTCCTTTGTTATGTTTATTTTATTAAAACATAAACATTGCATTTTGTCACTACTAAACAAACACTACAGTAACAGCACAGTAGACTTTAGACAGTTGTACACACATAAAATTTTTCATTAAAACAAACAAAAAAATTATGTGTTTCAGTAGTGACAGTTTTTCATGTTACACACTAATTCTTAGACTTTGGGACAAATTTACTTCAAAACAATGGGATCTAACTGTTCACCGTCAGGGATGCAGTCTCACTTTCTGTTATAAAATGCATGGGTGTGGCTAAAATAAGACTGACTATGGACTAAAAATCTGTTTTGTTTTTTAAATAAATAAAGTTTTTAAATTAAAAATTAAACTCATGTTAAATCTAAATATTTTGAGTTCATTTTAAAAGAAACCAAAAAAATCTTTAAAAAAAAACAATAAATAAAAAACATTGAAATAATGAAAGTATTCTTTTCACAAGTTAAAATTTAGTAGTTAGGGTTTAGGAGGGCTACCTCCCAATAGAAAATACCCAATAAATGATGATTTTGTATGTATTTAACTAAACACCTAAGGTTTCAATCCTTAATTGTTTCTTTTAAATATTTTTTTAATAGGACATCAGTTTAAACAAATATGGAACAATGATCCATATATATCGGTTTTTTTTTATGATTATGTTTTGTTGTTTTTCTAAGTGAATAGATCCTCTACAGAGAACATACTTTTGCACATTTTAATACACAGGTACTAATCATTTGCTGGATTATAAGTTTATATTAAAACATACAATGTGGCACGTGCAAAAGTTATGACACATTTTATATTGCATGTTTTATTTTTCCCCATATATTCTATTCAGCTAATGAATAGAAATTGTGCTCCAAAATCTGCAGAGGAAATGTCATATTGAGGTTTGTTTGCTGTAGATGTGATTTTACTGGGGTATCCAAGTTTGCATATTACTGTGTGCGTGTTATATGACTGTGTGTGTACAAAATACAAAGATTTACAGTCACACATGTACAATCTTACCTTCTTGAATAAAATTGGGATTCATTAACTGTGAAATAGAAAAATAAATGTTAAAATGTAGTAATAATTAACTTCTGAAGAGCTCCACAAAGTGAGAGAGAACTAACATGAAGGACTGTTAAAAAGCGTGAGAGTAAAAATGAATGAAAAAAGAGAAATTTTAACTGTATCAGTGGGTGGCAGTAATGAGACATAAGTTATTTTATGATTACTCCTACTACTCCTACTACTACTATTACTACTACTACTACTACTACTACTACTAATAATAATAATAATAATAATAATAATAATAATAATAATAATAATAATAAGAAGAAGAAGAAGAAGAAGAAGAAAAAGAAAAAGAGGAAGAGGAAGAAGAGGAAGAAGAGGAGGAAGAAGAAGAAGAAGAGAGCTGACAAAGCTTTTTACAGCTATTAAATGACTGAAGTTTCAGTGTTTCTCACACCATTCTTGGATATCCTTATGTTTATCATCATGTATTTACTGGCGTTTTGCTCTTCGCTCTTCTAATACAGAAACAGAAGACCAGCACGGGCTAAAACTACACACTCTGTGAGGACAGCATGCATTAAGGGATATGTTGAAGCTCTACCTCCATGCTAGTTTTGGGGTCTAGCTCATCCTCACATTCTGATTCCTCTGAGCTGTGAGACTCCTGTGGTTCAGGAGGAGAGAGAGAGTAACATTAGACAGCTCATGACACAGCCTTAAAGACGAAACAAACAGCACTGCTCCACCAGTTCCCTACACAATTCACACTGAGTACAGCGAGGACGCGTTCTGCCTCCACTGCTCTCTGGAACCTAAGCAAATCAGAGAGTTGCATGAGAGAGTTTTTGTATGAATTATTGTCAACATAAAAACTGCATTATTCATTTATTTACATCCACTACAATATAAGCATTAGGACGCACCAAACATTAAGTGATTTTGTTAAGGTATTATAAAATCTGAAAAGAAATAACTCGCTCCACATAAACCATATGTTTTAAGACAAAACACACTCCAGTAAAAAATGTTTGGACACACTTGTGTATATGCATTTTTCAACATATTTGACATTTTTATGTAAAGGATTATGTTGAAATGCTAAAAGGATTTTCTATATAAGACAGTGATTTAGACATTGAGGCAAAGAATAATTTATGTTGAGACTATGTTTTTGCTTAAACCACTATACGCAGGGTGGGGCAAAATATTTTTAAAAAGTAGTGATGGCTGAATACATGTATAACATGTATATGTCCTAAATGTATTCAGGTACAATACATCAGGTACGTCTGACGGCATCATCTCCCGGCCAAAGCTCCAGTCATTACGTAATGACTAAAGTAATAGCATCTTAAGATGTATTTTAATTTGTTTGACAGTGAAAAATATTAGATCATTTTATGTGATAGTGAACAGCATGCTTTAAGTGAACAATCCTTCAGCATTCCAGATCCTGGAGTTTACACACAGGTGAGGGTGCAAACACACACTCCATGTCCAGCAGCACAAACACGCCCTACTACTCACTTTTACAGTGACCTTGCTGCTGAGAATGTCCTTTGGCTTACGTGGTCCATTCTCAAGCTTTGGGTCACTTTTCCCCCCACTCTCCTTCTCGGCACGCTTGCGGGCGCGGAGTGTGTTCCACGAGAGAGACTTCCTGTTATATTAAAACATGATCCAGTCAAACCTTACTTACAGCGAGAGGTCAGGGGAAGAGTAATACAATCAACCTACTGGAACTCATTGAGGGGAAAAAAGGAAACCCACTGGGACAAATATATTAATCACAGTGACATGGTTGATGTATTTTTTCAATCTTATTACATGGTAGCACAAATTCGCTGTAGCTAATAAAAGGCTAATATATTTCTTGCCTTATATATCAAATCAAGGCACATAAAATAGTTAGTTTTACAATAACTCAAACCACTGTATTGAACTATTATATGTACAAACCTGAATTCCAAAAAAGTTGGGACAGTATGTGAAATACAAATAAAAAAATCCACTTTGACTTTATTTAGACAAAAATAGTTCAAAGTCAAGATATTTAAAGTTTCACCTTATCAGCTTCATTGTTTTGTGCAAATATACTTGCAACAGATTCCAAAAAACTAGGAACATCGAGAAATGTTTGAAAAACATCTAAAACAGGTGATACAATCATGCTTGGGTACCAAATGCGCAACCAGGAAAGGCCGAGTCCTGCATGAGTTGAGGCTCGCCACTTTAACCAAAAACATATCAGTGAATAATCTAATAGTTCCTCAACAAGGCTCCTCAATAACCTTTATGGAAATAATGGATGTCATGCTTTCTGGACCAAAGAAGAAAAGTACCATTCACTTTGTTACCAGTGTAACGTTCAAAAGCAATTGTATGTCATGGTAGAGAGGGGCTACTTGCACATCAGTGAAGGCACCATTAACACTGACAGATTCAAACTTTTTCAGGGACGTCAGTGCTTATTTCAACGCGACACCACCAAACCACATTCTGCATGTTATAACAGCATGGCTGCGTAATCAGTGAGTGCGGGTTGTAGAATGGCCTGTCTGAAATCCAGACCCAGTAAGAATGTGTGGCACATCACGAAGCGCAAAATACAACAAAGAGCATCCCGTACAACTGCATAGCTGAAAGACCTGCATTGTGGAACAAAGAAATTGCTTTAACAACTGGATGAATTGGTGTCACTGTATTACACAATGTAATACAGTAGTAAACATGCTTCTGTCCAAACTTTTTGGGAACATGTTAAAGGTATGTAATTTGGAATGAGAGTATATTCACACAGAAAAATTGTTATAAGACATCAAATATTTAATTTTTGTACTGTTTTCAGTTTAATGGGGGTCAAACAGAGTTTACTAAATCACCGCTTTCTGTTTTTATTAGGATTTCACATTCTGTCCCAACTTTTTTGGAATTAATAATAATCAGCTGTCATGCTCTTACACCATGGTGGATACACAGTTTGTGAAGAGGCAGCACAGTCCTTATGAGCTCACATATGTCTTATTCAGTTAGGCTGAAAAAGTGGGAAAAGGCAAAATGAGGTCTGATGCTGCATCATGCACAAACATTTACTGTCAAGGACCAGTGGGGTTAGTACAAACACAAATTAAGGGAACTACACACTACAGGGTTAAGAAAATAAGTAAACAAAATTAATTAACAGAAAAAAGTGCATAAACCTTATTTTACTAGTGATACTGCCAGTGTACTGTGTACATTAAACTAAGGGACTTAATATTTAAGAGAGATCATAATGGAGCTTTATTTAATAAGTGAAGCGTCAGTACTGTGGCTGGGAATCATGACTATGAAATCAAAATGAAAAGAAAGATAAATGGACTTCACTTTGTTTCATCATGCTCATGTCAAAATTTTATTTTACATATTTAAAATAATACATTTAAAACTATTAGTTAACTACAATGCTGAACATTGCGACTATCATTGTATTGCACAAAACTGACTTCATTAATAAGGGGTTCTCTTAAATAGTGCAAAAGACTTTTTACAGGAATGTACTGATAAGAGTAAACAACAAAAAAAGTATTTACAGTAAATAGCCAACATATTTGATTAAAGAAAAAAAAAAACAAATAAAACTGAACTTAACATTTCAAAAATAAGATTAAAACAACATAATCTATACAAAATTGCCATAGACAATAACAGAAACTTTCTCCATCAGGAGAAACTATTCCAAGTCCATCAGATGGCCTATGTTTTCTTTTTTTGTCTTTCAAAAACGCTTTAACGAAAAACAAAAACAACAAAAACATGGTGTTAGAAACAGAAATAACAGTCCAGACGTGTCAGTTTCCACACTGATGTAAGATTTCTTCTTCTGTCTAAACCAAAACAAGTTTGTTCTTTCTCTATAGTCCTCTCAATTATTCACTTTTTCAGCAAGAAGAAAATTAAACATCTCCCCACGGAAACGGTCCAACACATCCTGGTTAGTTCCAACAAAAAGGGGGGTGGGGGCATTCAAAAGGGGTGAAGCCTTGGCTTAACAATCCAATCAAAGCTCCAGTTAGTGTTGGTTGACACTTACTTGATGTTCGAGTCAGCAGCAGTGTCTATGACGGTTTTAGTGAGAGGGCCGAGGATGTTGCCAGGCACCCAGCCTTCAGCAGCAGGTGACTGGCTGTTGGCGGGGCGGTACACCAAGTACATGTTCTGCTGATTGGTTGCAAGCACCTGCACCATTTCACCCTGTGTGACGCAAATTTCATTCTCCTTCAGTGCACTGTAGTCCTGAGTCACCATCATGGAGGATGACATACCGTTACAGCCGACCCCGTCATGCTGCTGTAAAGGGGGTGGGGGGGGGTTGATGGGAGGGAGAGAGAGAGCGAAGCCACACACCCACACCCACACACAGAGTGTAGCAAGAAACATGCACACACACACAAAAAAGTACACAGTTGAGACACTCAGTCCATCAAACTGAATGGCACATTCAAATACATTTTTCAAATCTTCATGTATCATCAGTTTCATTAAAGTCTTAAACTCTAGGGAACCTGTGTTAGGCCAGTCCATCACTGCAGCTGTCCTCCCATCCATATAGGTCATTTACAATAAAAGATGCCTGAGAGAGGCCAACAGTATGACCTCAGACTCACACACCCCAACCACTTCCTATTCCACCCGCTGCCATCAGGGAAGAGATATCCGAACAGTCAAGCCAGAACCACCAGGTTCAAAAAAGTTTGTACTATCGAGCTGTTAAACTCGTCACACCCACAGCACCCACTAGATCATGAAGACAAACACTACTCAAACTATATGCACACTGCACTTTAATCCAATTCCAAACTCTCTCCATGTTACAGCTGACTGACTTCTTATACGCTCACATTGAACACAAACAATTCGGCACTTATATATATTGTATTGTATATACGTATTGTGTTATTCCACTAGTACATGTGCACTCATGTCCATATGTTAATGTTTATGCACTATGAAGTAGCCCGAATGTGTTACTGTACCCCTGTATATGTATAATGACAATAAAGTTGAGTTGAATGGAATTGGGCTACACACTAATTCCTCATTTGTATAACCACATAACATTTTAGTAGTAAGTAGTAGTGGTTAAGTAATTCAGATCAGTTGTTAAACAATATGTCTTAAGGTTAATAGCTGCTACATGTGGCATATCAGAGTAATATAAAACAGTGTTCAATAAAATCAGACTAAAAAGCAGCATTTGTGTTGGGTAGAGAGGATGCAGAATGTCAGATTTGAGTTTTTTAAGAACATCAAACACTCCCTAACACCCCTATGGAGCTCAAGCAAAGTAGGCCAGATAACAGGCTAATAATATCCTACTTGTACAGCAATGCTGCTCTCAATTCTGTTTGGCTACTGTGAGCATGCTCATGCATATTAACACAACTGGTGACAATAACAAGTGAAACAGACCAAATTCCAACTAAATTTTCAGATTAATCAGTTAAAATATACAGAACATACCTACATTACATTTCATAAGGACAAGGTACTGGAGGTACTTTAGAGGTTTGTAATATAGTCACTTGTAATATACATAACTATTGTTTTTTTAGTGTAGATTGAAACACTACAAGCTAGACACCATGGATTTATTTTAAGATACTGTTTAAATTTTGGGGAATATTCAAGTTGATTAATAGTGTATTGTAATTATGTATTTATAATAATCTGAAAAAGTCTGTCTCGAAAGTTGATCATGACATTTAAAATACAAGGCATTCGGGACGTTAATTTTAACATAACTTTATTATCAATGTAATACAGGTTTGTCATCCATTTCATAATCATCTACAGCTCTATTCATCATTCTGGACAGATCTAATTTTTTTTCATCCTACAAATATATAAAACCTACAAACTTATAAATCGTAGTGTATGAGCATCAGATTAGAATCATCGTATGCATTTATCTGTAACAAAATTGGTTTTATATTATTGAAAACAGTGAACAGAAGTGTATAACAATAGAAAAGCAAATACTGAGTTGACGCTGTCCCATGATCAGGCTTGCACTACATCATGTATGCTGTTATAGGGCCAAAAAACCAAACAGCAAACAAATTTGAACACCTTAAATACTTCTCATAAATCCAAGAATTGTTGTTGTTTTCATTAATAATATTTTTCAGTGTATTGTGATATTGTATCGTTATCGTCTACACTCACCTTGGAGCTCTCGTATCTGTCGGAGTGTTTGTGGGGCTCAAAGCAGGGGCTGCCATTGGAGGTAGGTAGCTTTAGAGGGGTAGAGACCCGTCCTGACAGAGAGATTTTCTCTGGGCTGACCGATGCTGTAGAGCTGGGTCTGCTATTGGACTGACCGCCACGCCCTCCAGTGGACGGGTTTCGTGTCAGGGAACTACTCTTCTCCTTCTGATACTCGATGGGAGACTGAAGAGCTTCAGAGACACATGAAAATACACTGCAATCAATCAACAGCACAGTAACAAAGGCTTATTATATACCTGGAAGATGAACGATAAAAAGAAATAATGCACACAAAAAGATGATACTATACATAATAATTGAAATCTGATTCTTTCCCATAAAATGCCAGTGATGCATACTGTCTTCTGTTACCTTCCAAGCCAATGGGCTGGTAATGCCATGCTGTCAGATTGACTGAGCTTACCTGACAGGAAGTTGCTCTGGGCATCCAGCAGCTCTGTGATGTGCTGCACCCACACCTGTTTAATGTCCGTGTTCGCTGCCTGCAAAGTGAAGCGCTCAGACGACCCACGGCATGACAGCACAAATTTACATGGGTCATTATCCACGTGCTCCTCCAGGCCCAGGTAGCTCACCTAGTACACACACAGAACATACTGATCAGAATTACAATAACACAACACTAAGTGAATAAATTACTCTAATGAATAGGCATTCAGACATAATGTTCCATTACTTGTTAGCTACGTTAGCCTTATTGCTCCAGTGCAAAACTAAAGAAACAAACTTGGGGCCGAACAACTATATTTTGGGCCAATTGTGTAAATATATATAGATTTTTCAATGAAAGCAATGTTCTTTGTCTAGCTCAGTGGTGAGAGAGGAGGATCACCTTGATGCTCTTTTTGAATTGATAGCCAGGCGTTGAGGAGCCCTTGCGTAGAAGTTCACTGAAGATGACGATCTGCTCAAAGAGGAAGACTCTGCGCTCTTTACTACGAGAGAGAACGCCCGAGTCCTGCTCGGTCACGAAGAACGTCTCCTGCTGCAGCAGTTTCCCCTGACTTGTCAGCTTTCCCTGAAACAAACACACACACATCGGGAGTGTGTTAATGTGTATCTCTTTACAAAGCACAATATTTTACATATTTGTTTTTATTTTGGCACGGGCTTATATCGTCACTGTTGTGAAAAACCCTCGCATCTCCAACATAGTAACTTTACAGGAGAAGGAAAAAAAGTTGGAACAGTCATTTTGGGCCATTTCTTATTGATCTGTTCTTCATGAAAATAACAAAGAACGAGACACAAGGTTTTGCCCTGAGAGTGACGTTATGAAACTGCTATGTAAACACTTGTTCCACAGACTGAAGGTATATTCTATTCAACTGTGAGCAAATGTGTGTGTATGTATGTACGTGTGTGTGTGAGACCGAGTGGGCCTCTGTCTGTTAACACATGCGTATTACACACCGACAGTGTGTCAACACTGCTATATAAACAGGTCAACCTGCCTCTCACTCGTGCCACCTCTCTGTTTTTATCTTTTGCCCTTCTTACTCAGTTACATAACTGACAACACCGTCTGTCAGAGGCTTAAAGGTCAATATGAGATATAATCCACACACAATTACAGCAGGTATGAAAAGAATACACTTATCATCACTGCTTTTTCCATGACTGAAATGAGGCAGTGCATGACCTGCCTATATAAGAACATGGCCTGTGCCTGAAAAAGACTACATCCTGGTGTCATACAGTTAAAAACATAATACAGATGAGGCATCAGCATGCCTTTGGAGCTCTGAATAAACTGGAAATGCTGCAATGTATCACACAGTCAGAATGAAACTGATAACAAGCATGCTACAGGTCTAATAACAACATACTGTAGCACTGAACCCGTGTTGGCACATTCTTCTCAATTTTATATGCTTACTAAGTTCCTGGCCTGGAAAATTTATGTGATGAAGTACCTCATAGCCCTGTAGTCTGCCAAGGTTCATCATGTCATTGCAGAGTTTAGGCACCTGAGACATCAGATCCACCGCTCTCTACAAAAGAGGATAAAAAAGTAAGGGGGATGAGAACCAAAGAAAAGGCCTAGCTTAAAATACACTGCCCTTTAATGTTAAATGAGTAAATTAGTGAACTAGTACTAACATCTCACCTCAATATCCTGACAATCCAGACCTGCCTTACTACTGTATTTCAAGAAGTCCTTAAAGACAAAAAGAATGGAAATAAGTTATGTTTTCAAGAACAGAATTACACTTCAATAGCCAATATCCTAACAATATTTACATGAACGAAACGTTTTACCTTTAACAATAGCTGATATTTTGTAATTCTCTGAATGGGCTTGATGAGAAAATCACTGATACTGAGTCTTGAATTTACTTCTTGCTGAACCACCTTAAGACAAAAATAGTTAAAAAGGTTAAGTTTGGACTATTATTAAAGACAGCACTTCTACATACATGTGGTCTATTCTCTGTTTCTTTAGATAAATTATCACAGCAAAAACAAACAAGAATGAAAGATGGTTTACCTCAAAATAGGAATCATATTCAGCCACAATGTATTCTGACTTGGGTTTGTTCTGGCAGTAAACAACATACATGTACAGCCTTCGCTCCTGTGTGCAGACACAAGGCCAGAGTCATTTCACTAGCCAACACATTCAGCAAAGCACACTAAAATTACAACCCACTCTGGAAGTCTCACGTACATGTTTGATAAACAGCTCTGGTAGTTTTTCATGATCTTCAAGACATTTTTCCAGTTCCCCCACAAAGAAACTGTAGAAATAAAGAGAACAATTTCTTCTCAAAAAAGGTTACTGACAGCTTTAATAGAGATTAACTGAGCACAAACTGAGCTTGACTCACTCTCTGTGCCAGTCATAGATTTGGTGAATATTTCCGAAGACAATCTTGTCTTTTCCTTTCATATCTTCAGGGACTCCTTTCTCTTCTATCTTCTTCATAAAACCCTATAAAGAATCAAAAGAGTCAAAAGCTCTTCTCTGCAGAGTTAGTACTCTCCTTGACAAAAGCAGCTGCCTTCAAATCTTTCAACATGTAGCATGTTGTTATCATCCTTTAGTAATGCTTTAGTAAAGGTAAACTTTTTTTTAAAAGTATTGTTTGTGTAATTAATGAAATTCCGCTTACCCCAGTTACAAATCAGACAGACAGTCAAAATAAACCTTCAAATGACTTCTACTGAACAGAATCTTATCTTCAATTCACGCACTAACAGGGCAATGTTTTGATTGTGTCCCATGATAAAAAAAAACCATAGAGAGGAAGTTATTTTTGACTGTCATATTTTCTCACCTCTACTACGATGCCTAAATCCTTGACGTAGTCCTTCTCTGTCTGTATGAGCTCATTCAGGACAAACCTGAGACATGGAGCGAGTCACATTAGTACACATAAAGTAAAGCACATGCAATCTGCTAACTGAAATTTAACTGTGATGAAAGCGCAGACAGACTGGCATATTTAAAGAATATTTTAAAAATGATTAATTTGACTATCACTACGTCCCTATTGCTTAATCGCATCATACAGCAGTAGTCTCACATTTTCCGGTTTAAAGACAAAAAAAAAATCCCTTTTTAATGATGTATCATAAAGGTGGGTGGAAGGAACTTTTGAGAAACTTTGGTGGGGTGTTTTTTTGGGAGCTGCACATTTTGAACTCTTACATGCATCTGCGCAGTGCGAGCACATGAACAGTTGAGCTGATGAACTTAGCATGTGTAACGCTCATGGAAAGGAGCAGGGAACATCTTGAACCTTGATACTACAGGTTCCCAAAGTCAAGGAAAAATACTGCCACTTCGCTTTCAGGCCATACCACTCACATCTATCCATGCTAGCGACATTAAAATGCGATCTATTTGGATGTCATCTTTTCTTCGGAAAAAAAAGTCACAATAAAAGTCACGCATAGGTCACGCATAGGTCGCCTGAAATTTTTTTGTACAGCATGCAAGAGAGCTTGAGAAAAGTGAGTCCAATGCCAAAACCGTGAGAGTTATAGCTTATAGATCAGTGGTGAGGTTAGCAGGACTGGTTGACAGCACAGGGATTTCCAATGGTTGTATGATGTATTTTTGTATGCATGTTGGGTACTGTAGTAACACTGACAAATGAAAACATGAAAACATTAAATCATGAATTTTGTCAAACCAACTAGGCTGAGAAATATAATGCTTGGCTATAGAATACTGCATAACACGACAACATATTATACTGAAGTTTTAAGATTTAATTTACCTTTAAAAGACATTAAACTTTCATCATTAAAACAAATCTAGTGAGAGTATCTAAGATGTATTATTAATTTCAGTGGTGTGATACACGATCATTCTGACTGATCTCAGTAATGGCCCCCAAAATGAATCATATAAGTTAAACTATATTTATCAAGAAAAGGAATGTGTCAGAGTAGATGGGTAAATAGTAAGTGGCCTAAAATTATAAAAAACGGCCTGGTTAAAATAAATACACGCATAATAAAGAGATTAAACATTACAGAAAAGCATTGAAAGGTACTTGAGTATTTACTGTGTGTTTGGTTGAATGAGAGTGTAAATGTGTCTTACATGCGTCCGCGCAGTGCTTTGGCTTTCTGCTCCAGCTCAGGGTTTCTGGGCTGGGCTGGGCTCTGCTCCACAGGACTCACAGAGCTAAAGCCAGGATATGTCCCTCCCTCCAGCGTCTAAAACAACAGTACAGGCAAAGCCACAGACTTACAACTCATACAAGACACACCATTAACCACTCTTCACTGAGGAGAGAGAAGAATAAATGTGTTCTAAAACTGGAAAAAAGTAATTATATCAATCTTATGTGAGATCTTATATGAGTCTTAGATCCTCATGTTAGTCCTCCACGAGCAAAAGAGTTCCAAATTTATGCCGACTTGTGTCTATTCTTAGAATAATGCTGCAAATGAATGTTCATGTTTCATGAATGTACCTTGTTTCTGCACTCACTGACCATTTTTAACAGAAACATCTACCATATATGTGCACTTCGTAGGTATACAGTTACAGTCATTTATTGGTTATCCTCTATTCCATTAAGCAATAGAAAGAGACCACCACAGAACCCATGGTATCCTTCCATTGATGGATGCAGTAGACAGGAGCTGTTAACTTGTGCAGCAACAGATGTGCCACTGTCAGTAACTGATGACCTACAAAGCGCACCTAAAATGGCCAGTTGCCTAATAAACTGGCAACTCAGTGTATAATGAGTGGCTAGAAACTATTATTTCTTAAAGAGAAACAATTATTTAAACACAGAAGTGAATAGAGAAGTCAAAAACACAGCGTTAAAGCATGTTACTGTTGTTAGTGACTGCAAGAAAGCAAAAAAGAAACAAATGGCAAAAGGAAAGACAAAGACAGAACAGGGTTAGTGAACACAAAGTCTGGGCATTTGGTGCTTGCTGTGTGAAACTGGTCTGTGGTCAGTCCACATTATGCACTTACCATCTTTGTTTTGACCAGTTTCTCTATAGCACTGACAAGCTCTGCGGCACTGGGGACCTCAGTGGAACCCTGCCGCGAAGCAAGCAAGGCAGACGACTGCAAGGCACCAGGGAAAGAGCAAAAGATGTGTTAGCAAGGAGAGGGAGGAAGAGATAAAGGGCAAGAAGAGAGAGAGAGAGAGATACTGGCTGTTAATAAACAAGTGCTTAGCCTCTAAGAGTAGCAGAAAGAAGCAAACTTTGGAAAGAGGGCAGAAGCTTGTGTGTTCAGTCAACAACACAAGTGTTGTGTGGGAGAGATCTTGCTGTAGAAGTATGTTGTGCTGGTCTTTATCAACCAACACAACAATGGGGTCACGGTCAACAACGCACAATACCACCAGCAGCTGTACATTTACAGAAAAAACAGGCAGGGCAAGGAAAACTCATTTTTCAGGGAAAAATGACACCTAAACAAGTCAGACCGCATAAGCAAGGGAGTGCATGTGTTACACAACTTCACAGAGTAATGTATTAGCCAGAAACCACATGAGCTTTGTTGTGGTAATTTTGTGGTTAAGAGACTGGAAGCCAGGGAGGCTCCTCACAGGGATTTCAACATCAGGGCGGGAAACACTGGGTTTGTGCGTATGTGACGTCAAACTACATATGAGGCGCTAGACTGACACTGAATGAGTGACTCCCAATGAAGAAGAGATGGATCAGTGTGTGTGTATGTGTATGTATGTATATTATATATATATATATATATACACACACACACACACACACACATACACCCACACACTGTAGCAGATACAAAACCTGTACCGAGTGACATTAAGGAATGACTAAGGCATTGTATGTAAAGATCAGCATATTAGCCCTGCCATCTGTGACCTTCCAACGTCTTCCAAAGACAGAGCCCATTCATTTAACATTAACCCTTCCCTGTCTTACAAAACCCAGCGTCGACACAGTTTTCTGCTCCACTCTGAGCGTACACTGAAGCTATGCAGTGTTTATGCATACCTTCTCCTCCTGAGTGGAGGGATCTTTGATGATCTCCATGGGTGGAGGGAGAGGAGTGTGAGACTCGTCCTCCGGCTCCTCCTCTCCTCCGCTTTGCATTCCTGATGACTTAGAGAGAGTTCCGTCTTTTCTTGCCCTCTGCAAGACAAGGAACATAGACAATATGTTATAAGAGCAGTTACTGAAACATGAAAGAAAATAAAACAGCTCATTTGACTACCTAAACAACTGCATTAAGAACATACAGTCATTGCTGAGGAACTGAACTACACTTGACAAATGGAGATGCGAAACTGATACTTTGGCTCTCCACCAGTTAAAGCAATGGTTCACCTAAAATTAAATTCACACAGCTTCCTCTTACCCCATAGTTAAATGGGACTCGCAGCATTTTTAAAAAAGAAAGTAAATGGTAACGTGAAATGCACTGTTCTAGTGAAAATTACTGGGTCAGAATAATCTGCGATGGTGGTAATAGGAATCAGACATCTGAAAGTTAGCTCACCTCAAAGTTTACACATGAAACGGTATGAATATACTGTCTGATGCCTGAGACATTATTTTATAATAGTTTTAAGACAAGGTTATGGTATGAAACATTTTCTAGAATAACATTCCTAGCATAAACAGTACCCAAAGAAAACTTTTTTTTTCACTTATTTTAACTTAAATGTTTTATTATTAACATTACATATAAAACTCAGAAGACACATTTAAATTCACTCGTCCTTGTGGTTGGCAAATAAAATGAATATGTTTGTGTTGTAAACATTGCAATCTCTGGTTCCTATCACTACTATTCTAAAGAAATCCAAGTCAGTAAGTTTCCATACAATGCGCCATTTCTCATCAAATCACTCTGAATGACTTTGTTTACATCTCAATGATTGAATTATGCAGTACATTTTTTAAAAATTGTGGAATTCTCCTTAAATCACCAAATATATGTTTGATATCCAAAGTTTGCTTATTTTGTTGTACACTGGAGCTACAAGGCCAATGCAGCTTACAAGTAAGAAGAATTTATATCCACAAGTTAGCATCACACAAACTGCACTTCTAAATCATCACAAATTAATCAAACTGCATCAAGTAACAAGGTAAACTTTTTGTGTTACCGTTCATTTTTATAGATAACAGTCATATCATGTCAGAAACCACACAAATAAGTCTATTTATGATTACTTCATGCAGTTTGAGGCAGGTGTGATGATTTAGGTATGTACTTATGAGTGGGATGTAAGCTTATATTACTTGTTAGCTACATTTACCTTGTAGCTTCAGTGCAAAGAAGTCAAAGAAGTAAATATATCTTAACTAATAGACTCTGAGTAAGAGGGGAAAAAACTACTGTTTCGATTTCTGTTTGAACCACCACTTTCTAAAATCCACAGAAATTCCACAATATCTTCTCCTTCATTGATTCCGCTGCTAGCGCCTCAGTAGGGGAAGCAGGTCAGGGTTAATGTGGGTCATTGTGTTGGGGTCCACAGCTCCTATCCTTCCACTACAGAGACTCTTTGTGCTATCACAGAGCACATCACACAGGCCTGAAGGGCCCTGCCTAATGCAGTCCTATGTCCTATCTGCCCCACATCATCTGGCTTACTGCTGCTGCTCCAGCCATGCCTGTCTCATAATAACGTACTTACACAGCACAGAGAACAAGGGGGCCAGTTTTCTGCATGAAACGCTGATTGCATAAAAAGAACTGCGATCATGAATGAAAGAGTGATTCTAAAACCCTCTGACGTTAAAATGGATGTCCACCAATATCATGTGCACTTCTTAGAAACTAACAAATATCAAATCACACATTTGGTCATGCGAAATATATTTAACTTAAATATTGCAACCACTGACATTTATACACAGACAGCTGGACAAATACCCTTAACAAGTACCAATGCGACATAGTGGTGTATATATATATATAAAACAAAATTCAGAGTAAATAATTTGAATTATCCACTCTGATTTCACTTTATTAATCTGAATTAACCTCTAATTTTAATGTAAAACAATGTAGTATTTAGTATCAAGATCTTATTTTAAGTATTTCTGGACCATTTGTATTGATCTGTACATTATGAAATTTTAAGACAGTGCATGTCAGCTGGCATTGTCAAATTATGTAAAAATAAATAAACAACAAAAACAGAGACACAAGTTTTTGTTTCGACAACAATATCCAAATGCACAGCTACAGAGAACCTAAAATCAGTGCCATTTCTAAATAAGCATTCTGTATAAAGATCATCTTGTTAGTCCTGCCATCTGTGACTTGCCAAGGTCTTCCAAAACAGAGCCCATTAATTTAACATTAACCCTTCTCTGTCTTATACAAATATACGCTAATACTGATGGCCCAGTATATTGGTGCCATAGTGGCACTAATGTGCAAACCAGCAAGCCGATCTGAAAAATACAAATGTATAGATATCAGGCACCCTGATATGAGTGAAGATGAAGATTAAGCATATTGCTAAAAACTTCCAGAAGCCCTCCAGCAGTGTCAGCTCCATTACCTCCTCCAGGCTGTCATCCTGCATCTCGGGTGGACCCAGGTCGATGCTCTTGCGGCCATCTCTCTTCTGCTTCTGCTTGCTGGGCAGCTTTTTGACATTGCTGCCATGACTGAGGCGGCGGACCGGGCTGGTGAGCCACTTCTTCAATGTGTTCCCAGAGCGCTTGGGCCCTGGAGAACTGCTGTGGATGGAAGTGAGTGAGGCCTGGGGCTGTAGTGCTGCCACCGAGTCCGTCTTTCCCTCCGGACCACTGACTGTATAGCTCTCTAAAATACAAAAGAATAAAAATATGAAGAGAAGCAATATAACCATAACCAGATTAGGTTTATGATATAATAACACAACACAAGAGTAAGCCATGTGTAGAGAAATATGTCTCTAAATGTATGATTAAATTATGAAAGTTTATTCACTGCTTGCTGTCCCCTGAAGGGAGTAACCCATGATAACCACAAAGAGACTGATTAACACCTAATGGATTAGAATCATCATGTCTGTCATATCAAGTTGTTGAGTCTTAGAAGCAATACAGGGATTTTCTCTCCTAACAAATTAATCATGCTTAGTGGTCTTTTGAGGTGTGAACTTGTTTACATCATCCTATTAAGTCCAATGTTATGATAAGAGTGTCACAATATCAGTGCACACCCACACAACAATTTTTTCTATAGACTCAAATGAGCCAATCACACAGCACTGTGGCTAAGTCAATATGCATATGGACTACACTAATCCTTCAATCTGCAACAGAAATGCTCTATAACTGACTAGTGTATTACAGATAAAATTAAACCAACAAAACAAGCAATGTGGGTGTTATGTTTTTGTGTTTTCTGTGTTTTTATGCCAGTTTTGTTCTGTGGGTTGAGTTGTACTCAAATAGACTGCTCAAAACCGGCGTCTTTCTGTGTTTCTGAATCATGTACATAAATGCATCATTTTAGATAACAAGGGTGTAGATAAGTTACACATATTACAGAAAATCACTATGCTAGTAGAATAACTGAGTCATCCTTCCATTGACATTAGACAGTGAATCATTAGACTAGTTTAGGTGTGCCCTGAGTAGCCATGACTACTCAGGGCTGAACAACTAGCAGCCTGATGTTAGTATGTTATTACGTATGGAATCAACTATCCATCTCAACAATTAAACAAATTAAAAATAAAATTAAAAATAAAAAGTACCTATTGTTGGCCTGATGTTGAATGCTACATTCACCGATTCACTACCAGTGACTTAACAATCTCATTTAACCAGGTTTTGATCAGTACATTATATAATCACAAATTATCTGATCAAAAACATACTAATTTGATTATGCTGAACAAGCTAAACACCATTTTAAAAAGTAAACTGTTAGAAATATTAAGATTACTTGTGTTAATATGACTGAACTAATCTAAAACTCACCTTAAAATGAAAACTCTCTCTCTCTCTCTCTCTCTCTCTCTCTCTCTCTCTCTCACACACACACACACACACACACACACACACACACCTACAAATCAAGACTACATTTAAGCTACATTTTCACATTACACCACAAATACGAATGCTTACCTGTAAAGAAACTCAAAATTTTCCCTCTAAGGTATTTTTAACTTACATAACAGCATCACTGAATACTTAGAGTTTAAATCTGTGCAGCATACAACTTAATATTCTCAGCCTAAATGACTCAAAAGCACTGCCAAATGACAGAGTAAATACCTTTGGAAAACAAGCATAGTTCTACTTAGGCTCAGCATCAAGGAGGTGGGGGCTGACATAGACAAACTGGTACTGAGAAGTGTTTCTCTGAATATATATATTGCTGTTGTCGGAACAAAACCTTCTATTTCCATATTTTTCGTTTTTCAGCTTTCGGCATGATTTAAATTGCCTGTTGCCCTTTACATTGTATGTAAATTTCATGATGAATGGACCAAAATTACTTGGAAAAAGCCTGGTTCCACTGACTTACATTAAAAGTAAAGCAGTTTTTTCCTTTTACTGTAAAGGTGTCATTTTGGAGATACATGGTTTTCTTATGACAACAGCAATATATATACACCGATCAGGCATTACATTATGACCACCTCCTTGTTTCTATGCTCACTGGAGTTTTTAAACACCTCAGTGTCACTGCTGGACTGAGAATAGTCCACCAACCAAAAATATCCAGCCAACAGCGTCCTGTGACCACTGATGAAGGACTAGAGGATGACCAACAGAAACTGTGCAGCAGCAGATGAGCTATCCTCTCTGACTTTACATCCACAAGGTGGACTGACAAAGTAGGAGTGTCTAATAGAGTGGACAGTGAGTGGACACAGTGTTTAAAAACTCCAGCAGCACTGCTGTGTCTGATCCACTCGTACCAGCACAACACACATTCCTGACCACTGAAGAACAGGGTAAAAGGGGGCTAACAAAGTATGCAGAGAAACAGATGGACTACAGTTTGTAATTGTAGAACCTCAAAGTGCACCTACATAGTAAGTGGATATGCATGTGTGTGTGTGTATATATATATATATATATATATATATATATATATATATATATATATATATATATATATATATATACACACACACACACACATACATGGAATCCAGGTAGGGTCAAAAGGTTTGCCTGAGAAACTTGTGAAATCATGACCATGGATTACTTAAAACACTCTTTTTAAAATAGCTTTAAATGTCAAACCAAATGTCTCCTTCCATCCATCTATTCATATAAAGACATAAATGGTCCATAAATATTTTTCATGCCTTCCATGTGAGTATGTGTGCGTAGGATGCTTGACTGTTCAAGCTTTTAAGTTTGCTGGTGTTGTGTTTCCTCAACTTTGCTTTGTGACTTACATCTCAGCTATGTGCTCAGCTATGTGGTCTTAATGAAAGGCTGGTTAGACTTATATGAAGCATGCATTCTCATTGATATGTACACAGTCTTGTTACATGCAAAGCACCTCATGTTTTACTAACTGACTGCTTGACTGACTCATCTGCTCTTAGCATCTAAAAATACTCCACAAGGGATACCAATTAGCAGTCAAATAGTATTCAATGCTTCATAAGAACAGGGCTTTGGATCAGTGACACTGTGCGTTCTTATTAAAGTACTTTTGTTTTGGATTAAGTGGGATGACGATGCACTGCTGTCAACAATAGGCCATAACCCTCCCACCCCCACCCCGTTCGACAACATGTTCGGGAGGCAGGGCTGGTTCTACTGGAATAGTGGTCGTCTCCAAGAGACTTCATAAGAGGAACAGAAGCCATAACAAAGCTGTATAGGACTTAGAGATCGACAGTACTGTCCAGGTGTCTCTGAAAAATGAACAGCTAATCACTAAATACCAGCACAAATCCTGGAAACTCTTCCTTCAAGCTTCACTCCACAATTTACTTCAAAAACTAAGATTCCTCTAAATAGAAGACATCAGCATGTGTAGTTCTTGTGCTCATTATGGTTGTATAGTGTTGTGTTCATTAGTGACGTAAGCATTTTGGATCAGGCAGCTTGCACTGCTGTTCGTCCATGAGCTGTAATGGCTTATTTATTAAAGGAAATGACCTTGTGAGGCATCATGAGGACGCTCACGGCAAAACCATCCAAACACAAGTCTAACCACACTAATCACCACTTATGACACCTGAAGAAAGAGAAAACAAGTTCAGACATACACATGCATACATGAACGCACATCAATTTTCTTTCCAAATCAGCAAGCCGTAACAACAAAACATACGTATTAGCCCCCCCCCCCCAACTCCACTATCGTGTGTGTGCAGGATCAATGAAATGGTCTGTCAAAACATGAAGGGAGAAGAACACAGACTCTTCACAACGCCACCCTCTGTGTGTATGATAGGACAGAGAGGCTCTCTCATTCTCCTCACAAACTGTGCTATCTGAGGTCTGCATGACCATACTTCAGTTTTTTAGTGTGTTTTAGTATGCACTTCAGGCTGTTGTGGTCAAACACGAGTGACGCACACCGACGACAGTAGAAGGTCTTGTGAGAGTATGTGGATGGGAGACTGGCTCTGATAAGTAGCGTTTAAGTGCTATGCTTTGTACACAGACTGACAGACAGACAGACAGACAGACAAACACACAGATTCCCAGACACACAGTTCATTCAAAAAACAATATTATGATTTTCAAAATCTATCCTGTTATATTTTCCTGTACCAGTCACTACTGCTTCAGAGGAATCTTTAAATAAGATAAGATAATCCTTTATTAGTCCCACAATGGGGAACTTCACAGTGTTACAGCAGCAAAGGGACAGCAAGGCGCTCAAGAAAAAGAAGTGTTTTTACAGATTGTTCCTTGTTACTATATAGACAATATATATAATACTAAAAAAGATAAAAAATATAAACTCTTTCACAAAAAATAACAATATAAAGGATTTTAAATAAACAAGATTGATTTAATGAATATTGAAAAAAATAATCTTTTAGACTGACAATTTTGGCAACTTTGATAGACAGCATTTGCTGAAAGGAAAACACCTCATCTTCCATGTCAGTCTTTTTTTTTCTCTTTTTCTATCCACACACCCTCATGATTAGTGGAAACCGCGACTAGAACCAGTAGAGCAGGTCCAGTTTTGCTTTCTCTGATTCTCCGCCATAGATGGCTGCGATACCATCAGGTTTCAAATTCTGGATTCAAGTTCTAGCAGTAAGATTCAACTCTCTTAGGCAGTCATGCCACTTGGGAGTCCTCTGTGTGAAAACAAAGAAAGCTATCTTCAATCTAAGTCAAAGACTTGTATTCAAGAGCCAATTTTTACATATGCCAGAAACTACAAATAACCCTACATGGCTGCAAGATTCAAGAAACTAGGGTTAGGGTTAGGGTTAGGGTTAAACCAAACAACTTTTTACAGGTTTTGAATAGTTGTTAGTATTTTTGTGTCTGAGTATCTGAGTACATGTGTGCAAAATCATCCTTAAAACAATAATATTTACAATAACATACAATAATTTACCATATTTTAAGTATGTTACTGCATTTCCAGTCAGTAGCAACAATGTATTAATTGTATATACTGGTTCAAGTGCAATGAACTGAAATCAGACAATAAGTAAGGCAGTGCTTGGATAAAGATGACAATGCTAAAATATTTCAAATGATTCATCAAAGTTGGTGTGGCTCCATGGCATAACAGGCTCTTATCGCAAATTCTAAGCTGAGAATTTTTCAAATAATTTAAAGTGCCCCTGCATGTAATTTGTCAGGCGTTTTAGCTTCAGTGGA